CCCATCTAGGCCTGAGCAAGATAGGCTGGTCCCTCCCTGGCTGGCCAACCTCCTGCGTCCCTCCCCAGCCCTGATGGTGCACCCGTGGGGTCCCTTGACCTGGCCTGTGCCCTCTCGCAATCAGGGACCCCTCAGGGGATATCAGAGAGCAGCTTTTAGATGATCCCACAGGCCAGGCTGAGGGACCTCACTGGTGCATGAATTCCTGTGCCAGACCTTTAGTCAATAATAATAAAAACATAATATGCTAATTAGACTGGACATCCTTCCGGACGACCTTCTGAGGCTGTGAGGGAAGCCCGGTCGGTGCCAGAGGGAAGCCAGTGCCAGCAGCCGCCGGGGGAAGGAAGGCCTCTTGCATGAATTTCGTGCATCGAGCCTCCAGTACTAACATAACCAGACATTGTTCCCCATCGGAGAAGTTAAACCTACTTCATCTTTTTACAAGGCAACACAGTATCCTACTCCGGGAACAATACAATTTTTCATTAAACAGCCTGAGGAACTATAAAAAGATACAAATGCCGCAGAGTGGGGGTAGGGGCGGTTAGTAGACAAAGTTCTGGAGACTTCTAGGCTGAGTACCTGTGGATGAGCACGGCTGGCTGAGCTGAGCGCTTCTGACGGGCTCTTTCAGGTGGAAGGCTAAAACCTGCCGTGTGGTTGAGGGCTAAGTTTTAATTTCCTGCCCCCACAGAGAATATGTTAATGTTGTCTAAGAGTGTTTACATCTGTTTAAAAGTAATACTCCCTTTGAGGATGGATGGGGCAAGAACGTCAGAGAACTTTCTGGGGTGACAGAAAGGCTTTACTAGAGGGCTGCCAGTTTTTTCTGTTGAGGGCCAGATACTCAAGGTTTTAACTTTTGTGGTTCACACATCACCTCTGTTGTACAATCTTTTTCTTTTTCATACACTTAAAACAGTTACGATAGTAAATGTTGTGCTAAGGGTGTTGTTGTTTTTTAACCACAAGAAATAACATATAATAATAATACTGATAAGCCCTCCTTGGGCAGAGGGGCTGCGGGGTGCTGGTAATATTTCTCCCGAACTGGGTGCCGGCTACTTGGGTGCGAAAGCTCACGGAGCCTTATAAATATAGGATTTGAATGTATTTATGTATGAATTTTCTGTTTCAATACAAAGTTCAGCCCTGACCGGTTTGGCTCAGAGGATGGAGCATCAGCCTACGGATAGAAGGGTCTCAGGTTCGATTCCGGTCAAGGGCATGTACCTTGGTTGTAGGCACATCCCCAGTGAAGGGGGGGGGGGGGGAGTGCAGGAAGCAGCTGATCGATGTTTCTAACTCTCTATCCCTCTCCCTTCCTCTCTGTAAAAAAAATAAAAAAAATAAAAAAATAAATGAATATATATATATATATATATATATATATATATATATATATATATATAAAGTTCAGCCCTGTCTGGTGTGGCTCAGTTAGTTGGGTGTCTTCCTGTGTCCTGAAATGCCCAAGTTACAGGCTTGATCCCCAGTAAGGGGTGTGCAGGAGGCAGCCAATCAATGATTCTCTCCCATTGATATTTCTCTCTCTCTCTTTCTCTCTCCCCTTCCTCTCTCTGAAATCAATAAAAACATATTTTTAAAAAAATGATTAAGGAAGCTTTCCAGGCACTGACATGAGAGATCATCTCCAACAAATATTAAGAAAAAAAACAAAACAAACAAAAAAACAAAACAAAAAAACAAGGAAAGAACAAAAAGCAACAAGTAAAACAAACACCTCTCACTCAACACATATTTGTTCACATCTAGTAAGGGCCAGGCACTGTCCATACCCCTTCAAACCAAACAGACATGCATTCCCGCCTCATACGGCTAGAACTCAAACCATGAAATAAAGAACATGCACATTTTTACATGTTCTAAGCTCTAGACTCCACTTGGAAGACAACACAAGCTGTTGTAACACCAATGCCCTCAGAGCCGGCGGTATGGGCCTGGGAGAGGAAACAAGGAGATGTTTCATCATAAAACTATAAAGTCTTTAGTGTCATTTGTATTTTGAAGCCCGCGACTCTATACATTCTCTCTCTCTGTTTTTTAATATATACATATATATAAATAATTGATTTTTTGCAGAGAGGAAGGGAGAGAGATAGAGTCAGAAACATCAGTGAAAGAGAATCATCGATCAGCTGCCTCCTACACGCCCCCCACTGGGGATGTGCCCGCAACCAAGGTACATGCCCTTGACCGGAATCGAACCCGGGACCCTTCAGTCCGAAGGCCGACGCTCTATCCACTGAGCTAAACCGGTTTCGGTTATACATTCTCTTTTGTAAAAAGTTGCCATTAAGAAGCAAATACCCTCTCCCAACAGTGTTTCGTTTTGTTTCCAGATCTGGTACTAGGACCCACTGCTGGTTGAGTTGGACATGGAATCTGTTTGTTCTTGTTTTGTGTTTTTGTTTTTGTTTTTTTTTAACAAGCACCATTCCTTTTTTCCCACCCCCGCCCCCTCAGGTTCTAGAGTCTTATTCCACGCCGCTCATGCCAAGGGTGGCCGGTAAGGACGGCTGTGCCCGGGAGTCATTTCCTTCTTGGAGCCACTGCCTTCCTCTAGACATGTCTGCTGAGAAGGGAGCTTCCTGCCCTGTCAGGGCAGCCCAAGTTCATGTCCTGACAGAGTGGGCTGCTTCTCTCTCAGCTCACGGAAAACCCATGTCCCCAGTATCACCAGCCCCAGAGGTATCCTGAGAACACGGAGCTTGCTGGGAACTGGGCAGAATGGTCCCCACCGCGCCCAGCCCTACAGAGGACAGTTTCAGAGAGGTCACCAACTTGCTCAGGTTGTGTTAAGAGTCTGGATTTGAGCCTTTGTCTGTCTGACATCACCCTCTAAATTCACAGAAAGCCCTGGGGCACAAGGGCAAGATACTATTAAGTGAGCCACTCTAGTTCTCTGTTCCCAACAGCAGGGTCCCGTTGTCTGGCCAGGTCTTCCCAGAGGGACCCCACTGGTGCAGGAATTCCTGCACTGGGCCTCTAGTATAATTATGATACCTAACAGAATACCAAAAGTAAATCACATGGCTTTTCCTCTCCTTTATTTTGCTTTCTCTATTTCCATGGAAAGGAGATGGGTGGGGATGGGGTCTGGTTCTGATGGGAAAAGACTTTTCCCAAGCTAAGTGAGACCCTTCCCCACTTGGGGACTCAAGCCATGTGGCCCCCCTGGAGGAGGTGAGGGCCTGGCTGCAAGAGCCAGCTGACGCCTCCACCTCTGAGCCTCATGGAGAGAAATAACGAAGCAACTGTGAGGCCTGTTCACTGTTCACTCTTCCCGAAACACACTTCTTCCCATTTCTCCCACAGCCACCGGCTCCAGCTCCGGCCCTTGGTCACCTAAAATAAACCCAGATGATGTTCCTTACACACCCTGCATCCTGTTCTTCGCTTCACGGCACTTACAACAACCTAGAATTACATCTCCATTCCCGTGTCCGCTCCCTGCGGGGGAAGACTCTGCTTTGTTCACTGTTGTTAATGTACTCAATGCCCAGACCCCGCCTTAGAAGATGCTCAATAAATCTGTGTCGATAGAATGGGCTCCCAGTGCCCAGCATAAGGTCTGCTTGGGCACAGAGGTCTCTTGTCTCGGTTGTGAGCTGGCAGGGCCAGGAGGGTTTGCGTCCATGGCCAGCTCCCTTTGGGCAGCTTCAAGGCTGGGTGAATAACACCCTTGTCCACTCTGTCCCCCAGCCCTACTCCAGCCTGGCCTCACGGAGCCCAGCGAGTTCTCAAGAGCTGCCCACAGGCCCGGAGCCCAGGCTAAAATTTGACGATCAGAGAGCGCTGGCCACACCCCAGGGATGCACAGCACACGGGCAGCTGCAGGATCCCGGGTTTGAGCCAAAACCAAGAACAAGGGAGACCCTTAAGAGACTGACAAGTTCAAACAAGGAGTGGGTGGGTGGTAGCCAGGCCTCCCAGTCTCCCTCTTGAGTGGGCTGAGCAGGGAGGATCCCAGCCTCCCGAAAATGTGTCTCTGCAGCCTCCTGAGGCCATAGACCCTAAGGGGTGGGGGTGAGACTCGCGGGGGAGCAGGAGAGAGGCACAGCTGTAGTCGATTTGTTTTTCATTTTTTGAGTGGTTTCCGGCCCCTTCCCCAAGGCCATTCAGTCTTACAGTTTCCAGGAAGTTCTTGTCACACGAGGAGGGGTGGCAGGGCTCTCTGCCCCAAGGCAGTGCCTTGTGGGGCATGCGACCAGATGCACACCCCAGGGACCCAGAATGGAGAAGAGAAAGGAGAAACTGAGGATCGTTTCCCCCAGCCCCCACCGTGGGAAGAGAAGCCACAGCAAGGCGTGGATGGGGAGGGGCCTCATCTTGGCTCCATTCCCTGGGCCCCGAGGCGCAGGCCGCCTTCAGTGGTTCCTGGGAGGGGGCACCCCCACCCTTGGCACAGGCTGGGGAAAGTTGGCCAATGGTTTCCGGCTTCCTACCTGCCCCCTCCCCGGAGGCGCCCTGGTTTCCGCCCTTCCCAGGCGGCGGGCGAGACGCGACCGGCCCCCACCCTTGCGTTCGGTCTGCCCAGTCGTGCCTCAGTTTCCCCGAAAGCCCGTGCCGGCGATTTCCGGAGAGATGTGGGCAGGAGTAAGAAGTGGACAAAGGGGACTGGGAGAGGAGGGGGGTCTGGGAAGGTTAGGGCCCTGTCCCTCTCCGAAGCCCGGATCGCCGCGCCTCCCCTCCCCCGCCAGGCATCTGAGCCACCGAGATAACGGGACCTCCCCGGGCGGAGCGTGCGCGCACGTCCGGCCCATCGGCCGCCGGAGGGAGAGCGGGGGTCCCCAGAGGGCGCGCAGGGCGCCGGGGCGGGGAGAGGGGGCGCGGGCCCGGCGCCGGGAGGGTGCAGGCCCTGCAGCAGGACGAGGCCGCCGCCGCAGCGCGGGTGTCTGGGATCTCAGACGTCCCCCTCCTCCAAGGGCCTCCCGACTCGGCCAAGGCGGCCACGGGTCAGAGGCGGCTCCTACCGTAGGCTCCGTCCTTCCTCTCGTCCTCCATGGCCACGGCGGGCAGGGAGGGGAGTCCGAGCCAGCGCGACCCCAGCCCGAGCGGGCGGGAGGCTCTGCGGCGGCAGCGCCCGCCCCGGTGCGCCCAGCCCAGCCCGGCTCCGCGCGCCTCCGCCAATGGGAGCGCTGCGCGGGCGGAGGCGGGCAGGGCCGGGGCGGGCCGGCTCGGGAAGGGGTGGTACCTCCACCTTTGTTTCTTTTCTGGCCTCCCGGGAGACCGTCTTGGTGTGTTTCCTGTAAAAGGAGAAGTCGTCATCCCTCCCTCCCTTCCTCCCTCCCTCCATCCATCCATCCATCCACCCATCCACCCATCCACCCATCCATCCATCCATCCATCCACCCATCCACCCATCCACCCATCCACCCATCCATCCATCCACCCATCCACCCATCCACCCATCCATCCATCCACCCATCCACCCATCCACCCATCCACCCATCCACCCATCCACCCATCCATCCATCCACCCATCCATCCATCCACCCATCCACCCATCCATCCATCCATCCATCCATCCATCCACCCATCCACCCACCCACCCATCCATCCATCCATCCATCCACCCATCCACCCATCCATCCATCCATCCATCCATCCATCCACCCATCCACCCATCCACCCATCCACCCATCCATCCATCCACCCATCCATCCATCCACCCACCCACCCATCCATCCGTCAAACAGATACTGAGCGCTTGCTGACTGTGTGCCAGTGTTCAGACAAAATGATGCCATTTTTCATTATTCAGATGGGCAAGAATTTGAGTTTGGTAACATCAAGTCGGCTGAATGGATGCTGTAGACAGATAAACCCAAACCGCGTTCACCCCGGGCGATTCCTCTCCGCCGTGGCAGGCGTGTGTGCCTGGGGAGTCCATGCCAAACGAGGGGTGTTGCTGAGAGGTCAGGAGTGGGCCGGGCTCACGCCCTGTGACACGAGGCCATAATGTATCACAAGAACGTTTGTTCCAGGCACCTGGGTGCAGGTGGGCTGAGCCCAAAAAGGACTCTGCGGTGACGGAGGGGGGGAGGGGGAGGCAGGCTTTTAGAGGATCAGAGATAGCTGGCCGCACCCCAGGGGTGCACAGCACGGGCAGCTGCAGGATCCGGGGCTCTGCGGGCTGCGAACAGGGCTGCTGACGTAAGGGTCGGCCCGTCCTCGGTGCCTCCCATGCCAGGTGTCTAGTTATCTATGCTGTGCCGCGTTCAAGGCTGCAAGCCTCCTACGAGCTATCTGCTAAGCACAATAAGTCTTCTCTGCCCCGTTTTATTATCTTTAATCCTTTCCGTTACCTGCGGCTTTGATAGTGGTAAAAAACGGGAGACATGTCCACCAAGGAGGACTGCCTACACAGGATGGCAGGCTCCCAGGAGGGAACAGCCTGAGCAGATAAAAGGAATGAAAGACAGCAGGGAAATGAGGGAAAAAAAATATTTTTTTGTTTAAATTTCTTTATTGATTAAGGTATCACATATTTGTCCTCATCCCCCCAATCCCATCCCCCACCCCTGCCCACGCATGCCCCCACCCCCCTGTTGTCCTTGACCACTGGTTAGGCTCCTATGTACGCACACAAGTCCTTTGGTTGATCTCTCTTTTTCATCCCCACCCTCCCCCTGAGGTCCAATAGTCTGATCCTCCTTGTCTCTGAGTCTGTTCTTATTCATTAGTCTATGTTGTTTGAGAAAAAAAAAATATTTTGGAATATAATAGAAGTAATCCTGTTATTTGCAGATTTTTAAAAATATTTTCTACAACTTTTGTGATATGTTAGTACAGTTTTGGTAATATATTTAAATTGTTTTTTCTTAAAATAGCAATGTTTATTGTATGGAATATTATTATATTTAAAATAGTTTTTCTTTTCTTTTTTAAAAAAATATATTTTATTGATTTTACACAGAGAGAAAGGGAGAGGGATAAAGAGTTAGAAATGTCGATGAGAGAGAAACATCGACCAGCTGCCTCTTGCACGCCCCCCACTGGGGATGTGCCCGCAATCAAGGTACGTGCCCTTGACCAGAATCGAACCCGGGACGTTTCAGTCCGCAGGCCGACGCTCTACCGCTGAGCCAAACCGGTTTCGGCTAAAATAGTTTTTCTTGAAATATTAATGATTATTGCATGTAACATTATAAAAAATAAATAAAATAAATAACACAGCCCTGACCAGTTTGGCTCAGTGGATGGAGCGTCAACCAATGAATGCATAATAGAACAATTGATGTTTCTCTTCCTCTCTCTTCCTTCCTCTCTCTAAAATCCAATAATAGTCTTTTAAATATATATATATTTATATATATTTATATATATATATATATGTAATTTCAGAAAGGAAAGGAGAGGGAGAGAAACATCAATGATGAGAGGGAATCATTGATCAGCTGCCTATGGCACGTACTCTACTAGGGATTGAGCTGCAACCTGGCATGTATCCTTGACTGGAATCGAACCCAGAACCCTTCAGTCTGCAGGCTGGCTCTATCCACTGAGACAAACCATCTAGGTCAAGCATGTCAAACTCAAAGGCTAACACGGGCCAAATAAACAAAGTTTATGTGGACCACAAAGAAACAAAAGCTTCAATTTTCATAGAAATGTAGGTATTTTTCAATAGAGACATGCTGAATACAATGGGCTGAAATAAATGAGTAATTGTTAACATAAAATAATAGAACATTTTAATAAAAATTAATATTTTTGCTTGAACATTAACTTATCAGACACTCAATAACTGCACAAATTAATAAACATAACACAAATAAACCTATTTTTCTTGTTCTTCGAAAGAGAAATATTTCCTGTTGCGCACACCAAACAAGTCAGTACAAAGTTAATGATGTGGCAATCGGCTGCTAAAATATTCACTGCTAGTATTAGTGGAGAGAAATGGTGCACCTGCGTGTAAGGCTTGTAAGGGAAATGAATGCAACACGATTATAGTGATCAGTCATTAGCCAACATTGTAGTTCGTTATGTATAATAGAATATTGTAAAAATTAAGCTACGAATTTTTTTATATATATATTTTATTGATTTTTCACAGAGAGGAAGAGAGAGGGACAGAAAGTTAGAAACATGGATGAGAGAGAAACATCAGTCAGCTGCCTCCTGCACACCCCCCACTGGGGATGTGCCCGCAACCAAGGTACATGCCCTTGACCAGAATCGAACCTGGGACCTTCAGTCCACATGCCAACGCTCTATCCACTGAGCCAAACCGGTTTTGGCTGATAGTAATTTTTTTTTAAAAGCATTATACCACCGAAACCGGTTTGGCCCAGTGGATAGAGCGTCAGCCTGCGAACTGAAGGGTTCCAGGTTCAATTCCGTACCTTGGTTGCGGGCACATCCCCAGTGGGGGTTGTGCAGGAGACAGCTGATCAATGTTTCTAGCTGTCTCTCTCTCTTTCTCTCTGTAAAAAATCAATTTAAAAATATATTTTTTAAAAAAGCATTATACAAAAAAAAAAAAAAAAAAAAGCATTATACCAAGTAAAAAATGCTAGACACTTGCCCTAACCGGTTTGGCTCAGTGGATAGAGTGTCGGTCTGTAGACTGAAGGGTCCCTGGTTCGATTCCGGTCAAGGGCATGTACATTGGTTGCAGGCACATCCTCAGTAGGGGGTGTGCAAGAGGCAGCTGGTCGATGTTCCTCTCTCATCGATGTTTCTGGCTCTCTATCCCTCTCTCTTCCTCTCTGTAAAGAATCAATAAAATATATATTAAATAAATAAATAAATAAAATAAAATGTTGCAGGTTTGATTCCGGTCAAGGGCATGTACCTTGGTTGCGGGCACATCCCCAGTAGGAGGTGTGCAAGAGGCAGCTGATCAATGTTTCTCTCTCATCGATGTTTCTATCTCATCCCTTTCTTCTCTGTAAAAAATCAATAAAAAATATATTTTTTTAAAAATGAAAAATGCCAGACACTTTTGTATGAAGTTCTAGAACAGGCATAGCTAATCAACCGATGATAGAAGAACTTGGATCAGGGGTTGCCTTTACAGGCGGCAGGGACTGGTGGGGCCATGGTGTGACTTGCGGAGGACAGAAAACAGGACTGTGGCTACACAGGTGGGTTCAGTTTGCAACAGTTACTTGATACACATTACGTTTTTTTAAAATGGAATTTTCAAATGTAGTTTAAGAGAGAAAGAGGTGGCCCTGCAGGTTGTAACAAGAGTGAGGGTTTATAGGCGCTTACTCAGCATCAGGTGAGGAAGTAAGTGCTTTATATTAAATCTTTATAACCATTTGCTGGTTGGGGAGAGTGACACAGAGAGGTAACTTACTAAGTGCTTTGCATTAAATCCTTGCCACCACTTGTCAGTTGGGGAAAGTGATGCAGCCATGTGGAAAAGTCTGTTTAGAAGATTAACACAAAGGGGCTATAATAATTTACTCCCAGCCAGTGAGTGAGCCTGGGGCTGTACAAGAATCTGAACTCATAAGCCCGACTTCAAAACCCACACATGCTCCACACCCTTAGCCACAACCCTGACAGTGTACCCAACTCAGTTTTTAGGTCCTACTGGTGAGTAAAAATAGCAAGTTGTGTTCAGCGTTCAGTCATTTATGGTATGAGGGAGGGAGAGAAGGAGGGAGGGGGAGAGAGAGAGAGAGAAAGAGAAAACATTAAACACAAAGGTATACATACATATGTATGTCAGCATGAAACTAAACAGAAAAAGATCTGAACACTTCTGTGGTTATTATAGGACCAGGAGGGAGTGGAGCTGGAAAAGGGGACAAGTTTTCCTGATCTATGTTCTCTCTCTCTCTCTCTCTCTCTCTCTCTCTCTCTCAATAGGAGAAAGTATTTATGTTTCTTAGGTAATTAGGACTCTATTTCAAAAAATAGATTTAAACAAACTAGTCACAAAAGGACAGATACTGTATGATCTCACTTATAGGAGGTCTCTAGAGGAGTCACCTTCACAGAGACAGAAAGAAGAATGGTGGGTGCCAGGGGCTGGGAAGAGGAGAATTGGAGAGTTTAATGGGGACAGAGTTTTAGTTTGGGAAAATAGAGAAGTTTTTGGACAGATGGTGGTGATGGCTACGCAACAATGTAAACGTACTTAGTGCCCCTGAAGCGTACACTTAAAATAAATAAAACGGAGAATTTTAGGTTATGTATATTTTACCATAACAAAATTTTTAAAAATAGATTTAAAAATATGGCACAACACAGCTGTGATACGACGCATAGGAGCTGGACCTGGGCTGGCAGGTCAGAGAGGGCTTCCTGAAGAGGAGAAAGAGAGAAAGCTGGATGAGAACGGGGTGGAGAAAGCAAAAGGCACAGGCATGCACTGAGTAGAGAGGAAAGAGAGAAAGAGAGAGGAACCGAAATTAGGGAAGTCGGTGTGTCTGGGGCCATGGGTTCAAGAGGTGCATCGTGGGAGAGGTCAGCCGGGATCTGCGATGCCAGGCAGGGCAGTTCAGGGCAATGGGGAGCGTGGGGGATGTGAGCGTGGGGGAGGGCAGCAGGAGCTGTGAGTGTTAGAGAGACCCCGTTAGTGCGTGGAGAAGAGGGTGGATGGGGTGCCAGGGGCAGGGTCCCTCGGGGGAAGCTGGGCAGGCCGCAGGCACGTAGGAGGAACTGGGGCGAGGCGGCAGCAGGTCGCGGGGACGGGAAGTTGCAGCGGAGGCGGGCGGCTGTTCACACAGAGATGCTCTGTTCTCTGACCCACTGCAGCTTCGGAGCTCATGAATTTTTCAGCCAAACAGGACTTGAGTTTCAGATTCCAGGATGGCTGGCCCAGGCTTTTGGGTTCTATTTACTGCCTGCAAACATCCCTTCTCCTGGGGCCCGTGATGAGGTTCAGTGATGCCTGGGCTGGGGTGAGGGACTGGCAGCTCCCAAGCCCGCCCCCCTCCCCATCTCCTTCTGAGCAGAAGGCTGGTAAGATCTTGGAGATTACCTTTATTTGAGAAGGCAACAGCATAAAACTTTGGTGTTTGCAGGACTAGAATTCCAGCTCAGCCACACCTGGCAGGTGACTTTTTACCTATACATTTTTATTGATTTCAGAGAGGAAGGAAGAGGGAGAGAGAGAGAGATAGAAACATCAATGATGAGAGAGAATCATTGATCAGCTGCCTCTGGCAAGCCCCACACTGGGGATGAGCCCACAACTCCGGCATGTGCCCTGACTAGGAATTGAACTGTGACCTCTTGGTTCATAGGTCGAGGCTCAACCACTGAGCCACACCAGCCAGGCTGGCAGGTGACTTTGTGGAGTCACTAATTCTCTGAGCTTCAGTTTTCCTATCAGTCAAATGGAGAGAATAGGCTTCCCTAGTTCAAAACATTGTTTCATGGAAGGTTCCTGCATGGGAGATGGTTAGGGCAGCACCTGAGTATAGGGAGCGGCATATAGGCAGGAGCTATTGTTAGTAATAGTAATTCTCGTATCCCACAATGCAACAGAACAGTTGGGTGAAAGCCGGGACCAGGCTTGTTGAGACTCAGATTCCAATTTTGACTCAACTGTCTCCAGGCTGTGTGGCCTTGAACCAGTGGTTTCTCTCTTGAACTCTGCTTCTTCCAACGTAAGAAGACAAGAAGGTCTTCCCCTCAGGTCCTGAATTATCAGAAAAAAACATCGTTGGGAAGACTGGAATCAAACACAGGAAGAAGAAAAAAAAGAAGAAGAAAGAAGGAGGAGGAGGAGGAGGAGGAGGAGGAGGAGGAAGAGGAGGAGGAGGAGAAAGAGGAGGAGGAGGAAGAGGAGGAGGAAGAGGAGGAGGAGGAGAAAGAGGAGGAGGAGGAGGAGGAGGAGGAGGAGGAGGAGGGGAGGAGGAGGAGAAGGAGGAAGAGGAGGAGAAAGAGGAGGAGGAGGAGGAGGAGGAGGAGGAGGAGGAGGAGGGGAGGAGTTATTGGGCCCTACCCCATTTGGCTCAATGGATAGAGGGTCGGACCACAGACTGAAGTGCCCCAGGTTCGATTCCAGTCAAGGACATATACCTTGGTTGCAGGTTTGATCCCCAACCTTGGTCAGGGTGCGAGCAGAAGGCAATCAATCAATGTGTTTCTCTCCCATCAATTTTTCTCTCTGTCTCTCCCTCTCCCTTCTACTCTCTCTGAAAATCAATGGAAAAATATCCTCGGGCATGTGCCCCTGACCGGAATTATTGAACCTGGGATCCTTCAGTCCATAGCCTGATGTTCTATCCACTGAGCCAAACTGGCTAGGACTTAAAAAAAAAAAAAAAATATATATATATATATATATATATATATATATATATATATATATATATACTTTTTTTAAAAAAATATATTTTATTGATTTTGCATAGAGAGGAAGGGAGAGAGATAGAGAGCTAGAAACCGATGAGAGAGAGTCATCGACCAGCTGCCTCTTGCACAACCCCTAGTGGGGATGTGCCCGCAACCAAGGTACATGCCCTTGACCGGAATCGAACCCGGGACCCTTCAGTCCCCAAGCCGACGCTCTATCCATTGAGCCAAACCGGTTCCGGCTATATATATACTTTTTATTGATTTTTTTTACAGAGAGGAAGGGAAAGGAATAGAGAGTTAGAAACATTGATCAGCTGCCTCTTGCACACCCCCTACTGGGGATATGCTTACAACCAAGGTACATGCCCTTGATTGGAATCAAACCTGGGACCCTTCAGTCCGAAGGTCAAGGCTCTATCTACTGAGCCAAACTGGTAAGGACTTTAAAAATATATTTTTTAAATAAATTTTTATTGTTCATATTATTACAAATGTTCCTTCCCCCCCGCCCCACCGTTGCTCTCCTCCACCAGGTTCCCACCCCATCCTTTGCCCTTTCCCCACTCCCCATTGTCCTCATCCATAGGTGCACAGTTTATGTTCAGTCTCTTCCCACACCCCCCTCTCCCCTTTTCCCCAAGAATCGACAGTTCACTCCCCTTCCATACCTCTGATTCTATTATATTCAACAGTTAATATTGTTCACCAGATTTTAAAAATATTTTTATTGATTTCAGAGAGGAAGGGGGAGGGAGAGAGAGAGAAACATCAATGAGAATCATTGATTAGCTGCCTCTTGCACGCCCCATACTGGGGATCGAGCCCACAACTCAAGCATGTACCCTTGACCAGAATAGAACCATGGACTCTTCAATAGGCATGCCAATGCTTTATTTACTGAGTCAAACCAGCTAGGACTATAAATATTTTCTGAATGGATCAAGCTGTGTGCTCAATGGTTGAGCTTCGGCCTCTGAAAGGCAGCCGATCTATGGTTCTCTCTCATCACTGATGTCTCTATCTCTCTCTCCCTCTCCCTTCTTCTCTGAAATTAATAAAAAATAGTAAACAGCCTGGCCGGTTTGGCTCAGTGGATAGAGCATCAGCCTGTGGACTCAAGGGTCCCAGGTTCGGTTCTGGTCAAGGGCATGTGCCATAGTTGCAGGCACATCCCTGGTGGGGGGTGTGCAGGAGGTGGCTGGTCGATGTTTCTCTCTCATCGACGTTTCTGGCTCTTTGTCTCTCTTCCTTCCTCTCTGTAAAAAATCAATAAAATATATTTAAAAAATAGTAAACATATTTTTAAATGTATAATAATAAAAGCAGCTACATTTGCCTTACTCAGAGTGCAACCCACAGTTTCTGTTACTGAGTGGGGGAAAAAAAATTACTAGTGAGTAAATATTTGAATGAAAGAATAATTCATAGGTGAGGCAAATGCACGCAGACCCCATCCTAAAGCCATAATTTTTTAAAAATTTATTTTATTGAATTTTTACAGAGAGGAAGAGGGAGAGATAGAGAGTTAGAAACATCGATGAGAGAGAATCATTGATCAGCCACCTCTTGCACACCCTCTACTGGGGATGTGCCCGCAACCAAGGTACATGCCCTTGACCAGAATTGAACCCGGGACCTTTCAATCCTCAGGCTGACGCCCTATCCACTGAGCCAAACTGGTTTCAGCTAAAGCCAGAATTGATGGCTGGTCAGTACATTGGGGACACCAGTCCCCTCCAACAAATGGTGGCCACAGGTGCCAGGGCTGTGGTCACCTCTGTTTCCATGACTACCCTGGATGTGGTGAAGGTCTGTCTGCAGTCTCAATGCCCCTCAGTGACCAATGAGCTGATGCCTCCCTCGACTGCAGCCTCTTACGCCAAATTGCCCTCCTCCCTCCACCCCACAGGGAAGTGCCTCCTGTACCGCAGTAGTGTCCTGGAACCCCTGTACCTGTACCTAAATGATGCCCGCTGTGCCACCTGGTTTCAGGACCCCACTCGCTTCACCTGGTGATGACTGTGCCAGCAACTGCCGTCTACTTCACGGCCTATGACCAACTCAAGGCCTTCCCGTGTGTTCGAGCCCTGACCTCTGACTTCTATGCACGCATGGTGGCTGGTGCACTGGTCCGCTTGGGCACCCTGAATGTGATAAGGCCCCTAGAGCTGGTACAGACTAAGCTGCAGGCTCAGCCTGAGGCATTCTGGGAGTTGGGTGCCTGTGTCTGAACCTCCATAGCTCAGGGCACCGGCCTCACTGTGGCAGGGCTGGGGCCCCACTGCTCTTCTGGATGTGCCCTCTTCAGCCCTGTACTGGTTCACTATGAGCTGGTAAAGAGCCAGCTGAGTGGGCGCAGGCCACAGGACCAGACTTCGGTGGGCATCTCAGGGTCGGTGGCTGCCATCCTGACTCTACCCTTGGATGTGGTGAAGGCTCAATGCCAGGTTGCGCTGTGAGCGGTGGAGGCTGTGAGAGTGTCACCTGTGCACGTGCATGCTGACTCCACGTGGCTGCTGCTATGGAGGAGGAGGAGAAGGAGGAGGAGGAGGAGGAGGAGGAGGAGGAGGAGGAGAAGGGAGGGAAGGAGGGAGGGATCTGGGTTGAGTTGACACCAGGGGCCTCTTTGCAGGCTGATCATTGAGGCTGCCTCCTCCTGTGCCATCATGATCAGCACATGAGTTGGGCAAAAACTTCTTTCAGAGGCTCAACCCCAAACAGCCTCAGAGCCAGTGAGAGGAGCGAGGGGATGAGGGTCCCATCTCTTCCTTGGATGGTGCGGGGCAGGAGGAGTCGGAGCCAAGTGCCTTGTCCTCAGCTCAGCCCAAGGTGCCAGCCCATCCATCGGGCCTGCCCAGGCCCCCTCAAGACAGCTTTCTTTCTGCTGGTCCCCATCCAAAGCCCCAGGGATCATCGCTTTCTGCCCAACCCCCAAGTTTAAGACCAAGTCTGTTACCTTCCTCCTTCCCCCGCCTCTCGCCCATTGCCCTGTGTTCGTTGTAAGCTGGGCGTGCACCCAAGGCCCACAGAACCCTGGACCTAGACAGTCTGAACCCACTGTGTTAATTCAGTTAGTGTAAAGATGAAAGAGAGAGAGAGAGAGAGAGAGAGAGAGAGAGAGAGAGAATAATACATAAATATGCATTGCATAAACGAGGAAAAGAATTAATGACTTGGCCAAAACCGGTTTGGCTCAGTGGATAGAGCGTCAGTCTGCGGACTGAAAGATCCCAGGTTCGATTCCAGTCAAGGGCATGTATATTGGTTGCTGGCCCATCCCCGGTGTGGGGTGTGCAAGAGGCGGCTAGTTGATGTTTCTCTCTCATCGATGTTTCTAGCTCTCTATCCTTCTCCCTTCCTCTCTGTAAAAAAAAATCAATAAAATATATATTTTTTAAAAAGAATTAATGACTTGGACAAATATTACTGAGCACCCAGTGCTGGGCCCTGGAAATGCAAACATAAACAGGACCGAGTCCCTGCTGTATTGGGTCTGACAACGTGTGGGAGAGACCAGACGGACGGATGGGCGGACGGACGGACAGACGGCTGTCCTGGGTCTCCTCCCGTCCTCACTCCCGGGTGCGGTGGGAAAGGGAGGCGGGGGCAGCGGTCCGGCCCCTTTCGCTCCCCGCAGTGACTTCTTGTCGGCAGACAGCGCCGCTCACCTGGCGCCTCCCCTTTAAGACGCGCGCACCTGAGCGCTCACCTGCGCGGCGCTTCCGCAGGAAGGAGGAAGCGGCGCCGGCGTCCTCCCCGTCCTCCTCCCGGCCCCCGGCTCCCGGCTCCCGGCCCCCGGCTCCCGGTCCGCCGGCGCCATGTCCGCCTCGGCTGTCTTCATCCTCGACGTCAAGGGCAAGGTGAGGGGGCGTGGTGTGTGGGGGGACGGCCAGGTGCGGCGGCGCTCCCTCCGCGCGGGCAGCGAGGGCCCCGGGGTCCCCAGCCCCGGGCCGGACCCCTGCCTGCCAGCCGCGGGCCCGGAGCTGGGGCTTCGCCTCTCGGAGCCTCGGTCTCCCTCTCCGTAAACATGGGGATCACAGGGGTCTCCACCCCCCAAAACCATGAACACAACCCGAAGCCGGAGGTAAACCACTTAGCACAGCGGCCCTGCTGCAGCCATGAGGCGATCCATCCATTGAAATTGTTATTTCTGTCACCATCCTCATCCACAGTGTGGGTATTTGGGGGCCCTACTTCTCCTTTGGGGCTGGGTTGTCCCTCTATGGAGCCCCCCTCTTATTGTCTTGTCATTCAATGGCAAAATGAAGAGTGATGGGGGAAATAATACTTCTGATAATGATAGAGCTAAGGTGTCTGAGGACCTGCTCCCAGTTCTAAACACTGGACGAAACAACCTGACCCAGTGGGTACTGTTATTATTGATTGCTTCCTACCTGCCAGTCAGAGCTAGGAGAGATATAGGGGCATAATCATTTTTATTTTTTTCTCTTTTACATATAATCCTTTTTTTTTTTTTTTTTTTTGCTTTTACTTCTTGGCATGATCTTTCTTTTCTTCCCTCTTTCTAAAATCTTTCTTTTCTCTTCTTTCTATAATTTATCCTTCCTTCCATCCTCCCCTTCTTGCCTTTCGTCATCCCTACTTTGCCGATTTGGTACATAGGAAGCCCTGGGCAAGAGCAGGATTTCTGGAACCAGGGTACTTGGTCCAATTCCTGATTTCCCACTTATTATGAGCACAGTTCCTACCTCAGTTTCCCCATCTGTAAAATGGAGATGACAGTGTCACTGCCTCACAGGGTTATGGTGTGAACTAAATCAAGTAAACATCCACTCTTTTTTTTTCTTTCTTTTTCTTCTTTTCTGAGAGTGTATCTGTTAACGTTGGGGACAATGAAAGAAGGAAGGATTCAGGATAGAAGAAGCAACAGGAGAGAGCCTGCTTTGGCACTTCATAGGAAAGAAATGAGCCTGGGCAGGACTGCCATTGGCTCTCTGAAAAGTCAGAGAAAAGAGGGCCTTGGTGACAGGTCCTGGGAGGGAGAGGGCCAAACATCCAGTCTCTAGTAGAATTGTGACCTGGACCTTTGCGAAGGGTCTAGACATGTTAGCTGTTATTATCATGTGCCCATTTTACAGAGGAGGAAACTGAGGTGCAGAGAGGTGCTCAGGTGCTCAGGCCCCTGGGCCAGGAAGTAGGGCCCAAACCAGGCCCTCTGGGGAGAGCGCCGTGGGTGGAGGGTCTCTGGAGCCCAGTGATAACTGGGCCTTCTCTGCCCGCCCTTAGCCCCTGATCAGCCGAAACTACAAGGGCGATGTGGCCATGAGCGAGATAGAGCACTTTATGCCTCTGCTCATGCAGCGGGAGGAAGAGGGCGCTCTGGCCCCGCTGCTGAGCCACGGCCGGGTCCACTTCCTGTGGATCAAACACAGCAACCTCTACTGTATCCAGCCACAGGCGGGGCCCCTGGGGGCTGGGGTGGTGGCAGCTCAGGCCCAGAGAGGGTAGGCTGAGGGTAGGAGTTGCACAGCACATCAGTGGGGCTTGGGCTTGGGGTTGTGTGGGTGGGCAGAAATGGGGTGCTAGTGGGGAACAGGGTGTGGGTTCAGGGACTGTGCCCCATTTGAGCCCTTCCAAAATGGCACCTTTTCCTTAACCTCGCTGCCCACAGTGGTGGCCACCACGCTGAAGAACGCCAATGCCTCGCTTGTGTACTCCTTCCTCTACAAGACAGTGGAGGTAGGTGGTGGCCTCCCATTGGTCAACTGGTCTGTTTGTCTTGCCCATCTCTCTCATGATCCATTTTTCTAAGAAGCTCTGACCTCCCCGGGGGTGCCCTTAACAAAGTCCCATCACTCTGTGTTCTCACTGGCTGCTCTGGGATCACCTCTCGCTACAGGCGGGGATCCAGGGGTCTTCGAGAGAATATGACTGCTCAAATCTGAGCCAGAGTGAACTGGTTTCCAATCCTAGCTTTCCCTGCTTCCTGGCTGTATGACCTTGAGCAAGTCTCTTCCCTCTGTGCCTCTAAACGGGGTTACAGCAAGTCCTATCTTGGGGTGGTAAAAACTAATAAAAATCATACCTCTAAAGTGCTTAAAGTAGTGCTCACTATACACTAAGTGCTCAAAAAAGGCTTGGTATTATTGTTAGCATTATCACAAATGTTATAAAATCAGATAATTTGTTGAGCTCTTACTGTTTGCCATTCTCAGTGACCGAGAAAGTGATCCGTCGTTACTATTCAACAGACAAGAAATATTCATGGATTTGTCTCCTCTCTGCCAGGCAAAGGGAAAACACCTGTGCATTAGACAGGTCTCTGTCCTGAGGGATTAAAGGGCATAAAGGAGATGAAATCTGGTTGAGATGCTAATCTCACCATAGCATCCTGATACTGGCGGGGGGTGGGGTGGGGGGTGGGGTGGAGAGACTGGGAGTGGCTTCATTGAGGAGGTGACATTTGGGCTGAGGTCTGAATGACAAGCAGCCCTCTGTGAGATGAGCCGAAGGAAGAGTTTTTCAAGCAGAGGGAATAGCATATGCCAAGGCCCTGGGGTAAAAATAGGAAGGCCGGGGAGGTTGGAGCAGAATGAGGAGTGGAGGATAGTTCTAATGTTGATGGCTAACGTGTTCTCTTCTGTGGTTATGCCTACTCATTCTCAGAGGCTTTTAACTTAGTGACCCCAGCCTTCCAAGGCCTATGAACAGAATACAGAAAGTCCATGACCTTAGCCATGTTTCTGTATGACAGGTTTCCTTTGCCATCCTGAGTATTTTATTGTATGTATTTACAAACATTCTGAGATGGGCCCATGAACATCAGATATTCAGGGATCCATGGTCCAAGAAAAAACAAAGAAACAAAACCAGTTCTAATTCTTCCTGGATTTTCCTACCTCTGGGTTCCTACTTCCCTTGAGTTTCCCACATTATTGTGCCCAACACATTGGGTTATATTGGTTCTGTTACCAGTCCATTTCCCCCACTGGACTTTTCCCTGTGGGCTTTGTCCGTCATTAATGTCCCAGCACTGGCATAAAGTAGGCACTCAATAATTGCTTGTTGGATGGATGGCTGGATCAATGGAGACCATGGCTCCCCCAGCTCCCCCTCTGTGGGTGTCTGTTCCTGCACCCCCAGGTATTCTCCGAATACTTCAAGGAGCTGGAGGAGGAGAGCATCAGGGACAACTTTGTCATTGTCTACGAGCTGCTGGATGAGCTCATGGACTTTGGCTTCCCCCAGACCACCGACAGCAAGATTCTGCAGGAGTGAGTGTGCCGTGGGAGCGGCCACGGGGCAGGTCATGCTGGAACGACGTTGCGGAGGGCCAGGAAGTGCTCCTGGGTCCCCCTGTTCATGCTCCCCGCCGTCCTGCCAGGTACATCACACAGCAGGGCAACAAGCTGGAGACAGGCAAGTCACGGGTGCCGCCCACTGTCACCAATGCCGTGTCCTGGCGCTCCGAGGGCATCAAGTACAAGAAGAATGAGGTCTTCATTGACGTCATAGAGTCTGTCAACCTGCTGGTGAGCCCCCACAGCTCCACCCCTCGCCTGCCACGGTCTGGGGACAGGAGAGGGGGCCCTCCGCCTGCTGACCCTCGCGCCCCCGTGTGCATCCCCAGGTCAATGCCAACGGCAGTGTCCTGCTGAGTGAGATCGTGGGCACCATCAAGCTGAAGGTGTTTCTGTCGGGAATGCCAGAGCTGCGACTCGGCCTCAACGATCGCGTGCTCTTTGAGCTCACTGGCCGTAGGTGTCTGGAGCAGGGGCTTCATGGAGGAGATGGAGACCCCTCTGCATCGGGCCCCAGAGAATTGCAGTTTTGAAATAAGCACTCGAGCACCATCTGCTGGTCATGGCCAACACTACAGCTGCTGGTTCTTTGAGCAAACGCTGCTTTATAAAGTGCTAGTAGGTGCAAGGACAGGGCAGTGAAGAAAAAGACAAATCCTGGCCCTCACAGAGCTGACATTCTAGACTATACAAGGAGACAGACTAGCATTGTAGTTAAAAGCCTGACAGTGAGAATCAGATTCCCTGGGTTCAGATCCTAGCTCTGCCCCTGGGCAGCTGGGTGACTGGGCAAGTTACTCATCCACTCTGGGCCTCAGTTTCCTCATCTGTAAAATGGGGGTGATAATAACAGTGGGCTATTAAGTTAGGGGTAGGGATTCTGCCCCAGCCCCCAGGGTCACCCTGCATGCTTGGCTCTGAGTTTCAGGAAACAAGAACAAGTCTGTGGAACTGGAGGATGTGAAGTTTCACCAGTGTGTGCGACTCTCCCGTTTTGACAATGACCGCACCATTTCCTTTATCCCACCTGACGGTGACTTCGAGCTCATGTCCTACCGCCTCAGCACCCAGGTGAGGCGGGGTCAAGCCATGGCGGGGAAGGAGAGCGACCTCAGAACCTCCCAGAGCTCCCCTTCCTTTGTGTGCAGGTCAAGCCGCTGATCTGGATTGAGTCTGTCATTGAGAAGTTCTCCCACAGCCGGGTCGAGATCATGGTCAAGGTGGGTTGGAGGAACAGTTACAGTGCTTGATCTGTCCCTCCCACCTCCTCACCTCCCTCCTGGTTCATTTCCTTCCAGCCACACTGGTTCCCTGGCTGGTTCCCCAACCCCCCAGGCTCAGGTCCCCTCCCCCTGCAGGGCCCTTGCATTGGCTGTTCCCTTTCTCTGGATCACTCTGCCCTGGCTCACCAGGTATACCCAGGACTCCTTATCTCATCTCCTTAATCTCTTAAATTGGAGATAGTCTAGATGCTTAAATGTCATCTCAAACAGGCCTTCCCTGAAGTACCTATGGAGAATTATACTCCTCCCCCAGCATTTCCTACCTCCCTTCTTTGCTCTGTTTTTTTCTTCTATTACCTGTCACCATCTAGGATCTGTTTTACTTACATATTTACTTTTTTAAAAAAATATATTTTTATTTATTTTTTACACAGAGGAAGGGAGAGGGATAGAGAGCTAGAAACATCTATGAGAGAGAAACATCGACCAGCTGCCTCTTGCTCACTCCCTACTGGGGATGTGCCCGCAGCCAATGTACATGCCCTTGACCGGAATCGAACCTGGGACCTTTCAGTCTGCAGACCAACACTATCCACTGAGCCAAACCGGTTTCGGCAATATTTACTTTTTTAAATATATATATGTATATATATATAGATAGATAGATAGTATATTTATGTAATTTAAAGAATAATGAACTATCCAGCTTATTTAAATGTACTTGACCTTGCCGGCATGGTTGAGTTTCAACCTATGAACCAGGAGGTCATGGTTTGACTCCCAGTTGGGGCTTGATACTGGTGTGGGGTGTGCGGGAAGAAGCCTATCGATGGTGCTCGCTCATCGTTGATGTTTCTCTCTCTCTTCCTCTTCCTTCTCCTCTGAAATCAATAAGAATATAATTCAACAACAAAAAAAGGTATTTGACCAGAGCCTCTGAATCCACATTTCCGTCCCCCAATTCCTGCTCTCCCTTTGCCCAGAGGTAATTACAATCTTTGAATTTTATGTAAATTATTTATTTGCTTTTCTTCATAATTTTGCCCCCCACATGTGTAGCCTCAAATATTTCACTCCTGCCAGCTTCTGACCCTCATATTAATGGACTCAAGCTATATGATTTTATGTATAACTTACTTTGTCCATGTAACATAGATTTTTAAAAAAATATATATATATTTTATTGATTTTTTTACAGAGAGGAAGAGAGAGGGACAGAGAGTTAGAAACATCAATGAGAGAGAATCATGGATCAGCTGCCTCCTGCACACCCCCCCACCGGGGATGTGCCCACAACCAAGGTACATGCCCTTGACCGGAATCGAATCTGGGACCCTTCAGTCCGCAGGCCACAGCTCTATCTACTGAGCCAAACCGGTTTTGGCTAACATAGATTTTTTTAAAATATATATTTTATTGATTTTTTTACAGAGAGGAAGAGAGAGATAGAAACGTCGATGAGAGAGAAACATCTACCAGCTGCCTCTTGCACATCCCTCATTGGGGATGTGTCTGCAACCCAGGTATATGTCCTTGACTGGAATTGAACCTGGGACCTTTCAGTTCGCAGACCGACGCTCTACCACTGAGCCAAACCGGTTTCGGCTAGCATAGATTTTTAAGAAATATATTTTTATTGATTTCAGAGAGGAAGGAAGAGGAAGAGAGAGAGAAACATCAATGATGAGAGAGAATCATTGATTGGCTGCCTCCTGCTTGCCCCTCTACGAGGGATCAAGCCCACAACCCGGACATGTGCCTTTGACCTGAATCGAACCCGGGGCCCTTCAGTCTGCAGGCCAGCCCTCTAGCCACTCAGCCAAACCACCGTGGCCCTCGAGCAGATCAAGTGGGTCCTCAAGCAGGACCTCAGTCTCTTACAAATGGACGCCAGGAATGGACCCTACTTTACAGAACTAGTGAGAGGTTTAAGTGCTTGGCACAGGGCCTGGCACATGGCAGGGGCTCAGGAAATGCCATCTCCAAATGAAAACCTCTATCTGATGGGCTCATGGCAGTCATTTTGGACCTGGCAAAGGTGTCTGACGTTTTCCACATGGAAGGCACTAAGGGTAGGACCTGTGGAGTCTCTCATCATGGGTGTGGACCCTGGCTCTGCCACTTGTTAGCTGTGTGTCTCCAGGCAAAGGCCTCTGTGCCTCAGTTTTCCTCATCTGCAAAATGGGCGGGACAGTGGTTTTCACTTCAGGGTTGTGGAGGCTCTCGATGAGACGGCACATGGGAAGGGCTTGGTGAGTAGTTGCAGAATCCATGAGCAAATGCTTCCTGCTGCACTCTCTCTCCCCGCCAACAGGCCAAGGGACAGTTTAAGAAGCAGTCGGTGGCCAACGGTGTGGAGATATCTGTGCCGGTGCCGAGTGATGCCGACTCCCCGCGCTTCAAGACCAGCGTGGGCAGTGCCAAGTATGTGCCCGAGAAGAACATCGTGATTTGGAGTATTAAGTCTTTCCCGGTGAGCACTGAAGGGCGGGGCTCTGGAAGGACCCAGGCCGACTGCCTGAGGGCCAGGTGGATAACCAGAGGCCCACATCTGCCTGCACGTGGTTGTCATTTCGGGGGTGGGGGGTGGGGGATGGGGTAATAAAGCTGGACATCAGGCTGGCACGGTGGTAAAGCTTCCCTACCAGGTCTGGGGGCAACCAGCCTTGGGTTCAGATTCCCATCTACTTTTTTTTTTTTAAATATATATATATATATATATATATATATATATATATATATATATATATATTTATTGATTTCAGAGAGGAAAGAAGAGGGAGAGAGAGAAATAGAAACATCAATGATGAGAGAGTCATTGATTGGCTGCCTCCTGCATGCCCCCTACTGGGAACTGAGCCTAAAACCCAGACGTGTGCCTTGACTGGAATCAAACCGTGACCTCCTGATTCATAGGTTGACCCTCAGATCCTGAGCCACACAGATGGGGCTCCCATCCCACTCTTGCCTCTCTGAGCTGCGTGGCCTTGGGAAGCCCTGTTCCCCACATGGAGCCTCAGTTTGCCCATCGGAAACAGGCAGGATGATGCTACCCACATCCTTGTCCCATGGGGGATTTGGTCTGTCGCTGGAATCTGGGGGGTTCCTCAGGGCCTGAAAAGTGGGAGATGGCCCCAGCCCACCTTCCAGCCAGGCTGTGCAATCAGAAGCTTAGGCTGTGAGTCTCAGTCAGGAGCCTTTCTTGTCTGTGAAATGGGCCAAGAGCTGAGACTGCTCCAGGGCCTGTTGTGAGGATGGTCTGCGGTGTATCTGATGCCCCCATGTGCCTTTAGGGGGGCAAGGAGTACCTGATGCGTGCCCACTTTGGCCTCCCCAGTGTGGAGAAGGAGGAGGAGGAGGGCCGGCCCCCCATTGGGGTCAAGTTTGAGATCCCCTATTTCACCGTCTCCGGGATTCAGGTAAGGGAAGCGGGCAGGGTGGCTCTGCTCTTTGGCCTCAGGAGGTTTCCCTACTGATGAGTAACTTCCATCCCTCTCCTACTCACAAGCTGTTCACCATTCCCCTGGCCGGTGGCACCTCATCTCCCCCAAACTGTGTGGTGTCTCCTTCCTTACACTGTGTCATCTCTGTCTGGACCTCTCTCCTGGACCACCTTCCTTTCCCCCAGCCCACATCTTTGCCCCAAGCCATGTCACTTAATTACTCCCAGCCTGTGCCCTTATTTCCCCAAGTTGTGTCACACACATTCCCGTGATCCCAGCAAGCTGTCCCCCCTCAGTCTGGGCCACCTCCTTTCCTTTCAGGTCCGATACATGAAGATCATCGAGAAAAGCGGTTACCAGGCTCTGCCCTGGGTCCGCTACATCACCCAGAGCGGTGGTAAGGCAGCCGGGCGTCCTGGGACCGTGGGGTCAGAGAGATTGATGGGGACGGTCTTGGAGTTTTGATACATTCTCACTCTCACTTTGAGGGCTCCAGAACTCAACTGGCCTACCCTGTCTTTGTCACCATTGCCAGCTGGGGCCTTGGTTGACCCACCTTTAAAATGGGGGCAGTTGTCAGTTCCATCTGCTGCCAGGAATCAGGCTGGTTACTGTGGGTTCGTTCATCCTTAGCCTTGTAACGTCCTGGCAGGGTTGGTCATGAACACTGGGGCGGGGGAAGGGTTGGGGAGATTGTCCCTCTGTGCCATTTGTCCCCTTCTGAGATGTCCCTGCTCATTGTTTTCTTACAGATTATCAACTTCGTACCAGCTAGAAAGGAGATGAGGTAGGGCCTGACCACGGGCCTGCCTCTCCCTCAGTCCTGATTTCGGACTTTAGAGGGAGGGAGAATAGGTGGGGAAGGTGTGAGCAGGCCTCTTAGCAGTTTCTTACTTCCTGCTCCCAGCACCTGGCCCCCTCCCAGTCTTGTCCTCTACCCATAGCCTGGGAGGATGGCCTCCCAGCTTCCCTCTTCCACTTCCACTTCCACTTTTATATGAAGAAAGAGAGGAGGAGCTTCAAAGCCCGCTCCGGAGTGCCTTCATGCAGTGACCTGCCTTATGGGCTGTTGGTGCCCCTCCTTCTTCACAGCTGCTCCTTTGAAGATGGCATTAAAAAGATCAACTTAGCTGCTGTGTATGTGCTTCTTGCTGGGGACTGGGGATGCCGGGGACATCCTTGAATTGCTGGGATGGGAGTGGGTAGCACATATCCATTCTTCAGCCCTGGTCACAGCTCCTCTGGGTCAGTGCAGCTGCCTCTATCTCCATCCCCTGACTGGGGACTTTCCTCCCCACCCCCCTCCACAGTCAGTTCCCCTCACAGCCGCCAGAGGGCGCTGTTAACTTCTAAGTCAGTCCTGGCTCCTCTGCTCAGAACCCTCCAATGCTTCCTTCTCCATCTGTGCTACCCAACCCGCCACCTCCATTCCCTCACCTTCTCGCCCTCTATACCTGGCTCTTCCTGGACACACGAGGTGCACTCCCACCTCAGGGTTTTTGCATTTGTAGTGCCCTTGACCTGGCATGCTTTTCCTTGCTATCCACACACGGCTCCTTACCATAACTTCCGATCTCAAATCAATGTCACTAATTCAGGGTGACCTGTTTCAACAGCCTTCCTTTCCCAATAGACTATTACTTAACCCCTTTTTGTCAGCTCCCTTAGCGTTTACCACTCTGAAAATATTTAATTATTGTTCCCTCCTGCCCTGAATTGTATCTCGCTCTCCAATTGGGCGCCTACTACACAGTAGGTGTTCAGTAAAAAGTCCTCCCCCCCCCCCCCAATGTTTGAATGAAGGTCTCTGCCAGGTTCAACCACGTGGCAGCTGCGGCATGAACGTTCCTTCTTGTCCCTTGCACTTGCTGTGCTTGGGGTGGCTCAGTCTGAGCCAGAATGAGATTTTCTCATTCACCCTTATTTCCCCGTTTTATTTTCTTTCTTTTCTTTTTTTAAAAAAATTATATTTTATTGATTTTTCACAGAGAGGAAGAGAGAGATAGAGAGTTAGAAACATCGATGAGAGAGAATCATCGATCAGCTGCCTCTTGCACACCCCCTACTGGGGATGTGCCCGCAACAAGGTACATGCCCTTGCCCGGAATCGAACCCCGACGCTCTATCCACCGAGCCAAACCGGTTTTGGCCCGTTTTCTTTTTTTCACGGTGCTTAACTCCACCTTAAATTATTTAGGTGCTTGCCTATGCGATGGGAAAGGTTCCTGCAACAAGGTGGGTGGGTGAGTGAAACAAAACGTCCCGCTCCCCGTTAAGGGCGAATAAATGCTTATCGCAGAGCATTTATGGTGGAACCCTGGACTAGGCGGCCCCAACGGCGGCGCTGAGCTCCTGGGGCAGCCCGCGTTACCCTGCCCCTGACCTTGCTCTCCCCGGGCAGTTAAACCGGCTCCGGCTCCCGCGCGCCAGGCGCATTTGAAAAACCGAAAACCCCGCCATGGCCGACGGTCCTCCAATCGCCGCGGCTCGGCCAATCAGGAGCTGCGCCGCCCACGCCAGCGCTCAAACCCTCCCCGGCAACGCGCAGTCATTGGCTGCACTGGGCGTGTGGGCGGGGCGCCGCCGGGTCCGGCGCCGGGCGGCGCGGCGGGGCTACTTAGTAGCGAGTTCGTAAGAAAACAATCCGCCGCGCTCGGGGGCGGAGCTGGAGCGCGCGGCCTGCGTCCGGACCCAGCGCTCCGCAGCCGCGGCGGCGGCGTCCGCTCAGAGGAGACTCCGCCCGCAGAGGAGGAGGGAGGGTGAGTGGGGCGGAGACCGGGCCCCCTATGGGCTGCGGAGGGTTGGGCCAGCTTCCCAGCCCCTGGCGACCTGTGGGCTGACAGCGGGGAGGAGCCGCCGGGGTGGGGGCTGCGGGGGTCGCTCGGAGCCCCCTGCTGGCGAGCCGGGCCGCGAGCCTCGCGCAGGCCGGGAGCTCCGCGGGAGGGCCGCTGTTGGGGGCCGCACCGGAGGCTTCCCCGCCCTGACCGAGCCGGGGTGGGGCGGGGGGCTTCTCAGGCCAGGGCCGACATGCTGCTGGAGGAGGTCCGCGCCGGCGACCGGCTCAGCGGGGCCGCGGCCCGCGGCGACGTGCGGGAGGTGCGCCGCCTTCTGCACCGCGAGCTGGTGCACCCCGACGCCCTGAACCGCTTCGGCAAGACGGCGCTGCAGGTGAGGCCGCTCTCTCCGAGCCGAGCCGGGAGAGAGCGGGGACCCAGCCCCCTCTCCTAAGGTCTCCTGGCCCCGGGGGTGGCCGACCGGGGTCCGGGCCTCCAGGTGTGGGCTGGCTTTACTCCCGGGTGTCCCCTTTGGTAGGTGGGTGGTGGATGGGGGAAGGGAAGGAAGGCTTTCCATCTCCGGAGGATGCCTTGTTCTCTGGGTGCTGGGGATTCAGTTTTCCTGGGGAGGCGATTTTTCCCATGACTGAGGATTCAGCTTCTTTGGAAACCGGCTTCACGGGATCAGCCCTTGCTTCTGTGGGTTTCTATGGAGAGACCCCGATCATTGGAAGAAGGGATTCAGGTCTTCACTGCGTTCTCATTGTCTGTGGGGTTCTCGGAGATGAATTCCAGTTCCTTGTGTGTGTGGGTGATCTTCGTCCTTTTTTTTTCTTTTTTTTTTTTCTTTTTCTTTTTCCTCTTAGATTCTTGGTATATATCGTGGGGAGTCCTACGGGGGGAACAGTTACAGATTGCATGGTAGTCCCTATTCCCTGGGAGGAATCTCATTTCTTGAGTGATTCAGGTGTCCTAGGGGAGCAGTCTGATTATATGGGAGGGGCTATTCGATGGAGGATGGGTTTCAGATTCCCTGGGCACCTCCTTTCGTTTGAGGGTGCTAACAAGTGGGGGGGGGGGGCGGGGAGGGAGGAAGGGCAGTTTTCATTTTATGAGACCCAATTTCCTGGAGGGAGGTTTATATTTCCTGTTGATTTCCCACGTCTGAGGGGGCGGTGGTCCTCTGGCTCCTCGTGGAGGGTCTTATGTTCTTTGAAAGTTTGCATGAGACTATTCCTGGGGTGGTGTTTTCCTTAGTTTCTTGGGGATCCCTGTTCCTAGGAGACCTTGTTCTTTGAGGTCTCAAACAGCCAGCTGCCTGGAGGCTTGCGTTCCCTGGGCTTTTTCCATCCTCCAGAGGACTTCTTCTCTGGTGCTCCCTATTCCTGAATGACCCCGCTCTTTTCCCAGAACCCCTCTTTTGAGATCCCCCCCCCACTCTGCCCCTGCACAGGTGATGATGTTTGGCAGCCCCACCATCGCCCTGGAGCTGTTGAAACAAGGCGCCAGCCCCAATGTCCAGGACGCCTCTGGCACCACGCCGGCCCACGACGCAGCCCGCACGGGATTCCTGGACACGCTGAAGGTTTTGGTAGAGCACGGCGCCGACGTCAACGCGCCCGATAACACAGGGGCGCTCCCCATCCACCTGGCTGTGCGCGAGGGCCACGCAGCTGTGGTCAGCTTCTTGGCTGCCGAGTCTGATCTCCATCACAGGGATACCGGGGGGCTCACTCCTCTGGAGCTGGCGCAAGGGAGAGGGGCTCAGGATCTCATGGACATACTGCAGGGTCACATGGTGGCACCCCTGTGACCCAGGACCCCCCACTGCAGCCACAGGACCCAGCTGGGTTCTCTCTCAGAAAAGAAACACTTTCTTTTTGCTCCTCCAGTCCCACTGCCAAAGGTGGGGGAGCATCAGTTTGTGGCTTGTTGGTATTGATTTCTGGAGTGTGTGTGCTTAAGGGACATTTCTCATTTGTTTTTCCCTTTTGTGTGTTTGGTGAGAAGGGCTCCTGTAGGCAACAGCCACCTAAACGGTTCAGTTCCCTCCACTCCCCAGACTGCTGGGGCTACAGAGTCCCGAGGGCAGAGCGCTGAAAGCCTCAGCCCTGCATGAGGCCATGGCTTCCAGGGCTCCTGGAACCTGGCGGCTTCGGCTGACTGCACCCAGAGAGAGATCTCAGTGTGCACTCTGCTTTGGAGCATGGGGGGAGGGGGGAGATCCAAATGAATACAAGGGTGAGATGAGTTCATATTTTGTTGGAAACTTGTTTTCCTGTCTCTTGTACAGCTTTAAAAAAAGATTCTATTTATTAAGCTTTATGGATTAAAGTTGTGTGATAATTTAATGTTTTTACCCATTAAATTAATTCTTGTGCATGATCACAGTGCTGGTGGCTTCTGATTTCTTTTTTTTTTTTTTTAATATATTTTATTGATTTTTTACAGAGAGGAAGGGAGAGAGATAGAGAGCCAGAAACATCGATGAGAGAGAAACATCGACCAGCTGCCTCCTGCACACCCCCTACCTGGGATGTGCCCGCAACCAATGTACATGCCCTTGACCGGAATCGAACCTGGGACCTTTCAGTCCGCAGACCGACTCTCTACCACTGAGCCAAACCGGTTTCGGCTGATTTCTTAATCTGCGATGGGTAGTTCCGCGTCCCGGATGTCGGTGGGGGTGGGCACGGGGGTCGCGGGTCATGGATGCTTCGGGGGAGCGGAGAGAGTAGTAATTCCCAGGGCGCCAGGGGTGAGAGAGCTGGGTGGGGCGGCGGTTTGCGCTGTCGGAACGGAAGCGAAGCAGGAAACCGCGAGTGGAGAAAGGGCCCCCAGATGTCAGCTGGGTGCGGGCAGCCCCCGGGGTGGGGTGGGCGGCGGCTGCAGCCTTCCCCGCAGAGGCGCGGCCGTGGGTGGGGACTGAGGTCACGCGGCGTAAGAGATTCCGGAAACGCCGGGGGCGGGGCCAGGGCGCGGCCCTCGAAGCCCCGCCTCCTTTAAAGGTCGCGCCGGGCGGGGCCAACGGCAGCAGCCCGCCTCCCCGGCGCCGGCGTGCGCATGCGCAGTGGGACGCGCCGACGCCATGCCGGAGCCGCGCGGGACGTCTCCTCTGCGGGTGAACGCGGCGTTCGCCGCGCGGTACAGCCGCTACCGGGAACGTGAGGAGCTGCAGCGGCGTGAGTGCTGGGCGCGTGCCCGCGGGGCGCCGGCGCTGCCGGGCTGTCGGGAAGTGGTGGTTGAGCTGGTCCCCCCGGGTGATCGGGGCTCCCGTCTGTCCCGCAGTGAAAGATCGCTACCGGGACCGAGACGGCGACGACTCCAGCTCCGAGTCCGACTCGAGCGACGAGCGCGTGGTGAGCTTCCTCAGCCCGGCCCGGGCGTGCGGGCGGCATTCAAGCCCCCACCGCATCCTGGTCCCGAAACTCCACAGCGCCCTACCGGGTCCACCCCACCCCGATTCCACGAGGGGCGGACAGCGGCCTCCCCATCCCCAGGGCGGGGCCACATCCCTCCCATTTCCCCCTATTCCCCCCATTCCCCTCCCTGCTATGGGCCCCCCTGCCCATCCTGTGTTTGGTGTGACCACTCTGCCACATGGGGCACCAGCTTCTCCCCACATCAGCCATATCTCACCTCACTGTGCAGCCAGTCCCCACTGCTGGCCATGTGTCCTCTCTGCTTCCTGCCCCAGGCCAATCCTTGTCCCCGAGGAAGCACGGTTCCTTTGCCTGATACCCTCCTCTGTCTCAGATCCTGTACTTCTGTATGGACCTCCCTCCCTCTTTCCCTCCTTCCCACCCTCTCTTCTCTCTCTCCCTTCCTCCCTTCTCTCCCTGTTTGACACCCCCCCACACACACACACACCCCTGCCTTTCCCCAACGGGATCCCCTTTCCTTCCATGTCATGTATGCCCATTCCACCCGATGTATGCTCACTCCTCCACCCTAATCCCCACAATCCTCTCAGCCCACCTCCATCGCTCTCACCACCTTCCTTCTGCAGTCTGTCCCCAATCCTTTTCCTGCCCTAGGAATTTGACCCCCAGCAGGAGAGAGACTTTTACAGGACTCTCTCCTTGTTGAAGAAGAAGGATCCCCGGATTTACCAGGAAGATGCCACCTTCTACCAGAGAACAGGTCTGGGGCTGCTCTTCTCCGAGGTTCCTCTTGGCCTTATCATCTGTTGTGACTATTTAATGAATCATTTTATGTCAAAAGTGCTTAGCAGAGTATCTTAGATTCTTACCTGTTGAGGTTAATAACAACCGTGGGCTTTGTTCTATTGAGAGGGGGAGTTACTGAGTGGTCACCGCCAGGTACTGCCGGGTGGTAGCCAGTGTGGTCACTGTTGTACAGCTGGGAACTGGTGGCTTGGGGATTTGAGGCCTTCATCTGACCCTGACCCTGGCCCAGCCCAGTGGCATTCTCTATCTGGGGAAGGAAGGGAGTTGTGGTTGTGGAAAATGGCAGGTGTCTTCCTGTGACTCCGCAGCAACCTCCTCGGAAAGCGAGGAGGAGCTGGCAGCTGAGAAGCAAAAGAAGACGCGGCCCATGTACCTGAAGGACTATGAGCGGAAGGTTATCTTGGAGAAAGAAGGGTGAGGACAAGGCTGGACACATACCGTCCTCTGCCCTGCCTTCCAGAGCAGGTGGATGCCTGGGGGCCTCCGGAGCAGGGGTGGGAAGGAGCCAGGGACTCACCAGAATTGCAGGAGTGCCAGAGAGCGTGCTCCTCTGTGATGGCCTGCACCCCTGTCAGCTCCCCCACCTGCTTCTCATAACTGTCCCCCACCACTGGGACAGGCAGACCGTGGGGAGTCCATTTTGAAGCCCCAATTCTTCCTTGCACAGCAAATATGTCGACGAGGAGAATTCAGACGGGGAGACCTCCAATCAGAGACTCCAGGTGGGTGGGGTGGAGACCGGGTTGGGGCTGAGGAGTCCGGGGCTGGGCCTGGGGCCCACCGCTCCCTCTCTTTAGCAGGTCTCGTCGAAAAGTTACGTGGAAGAACAGAAACAGCTCAAGGAAAGGTGAGCTGGGCGAGCGAGTGGCCAAATGGATAGGAGTTGAGTGCTCCAGTCCAGCTCTGTCACTAAGGGCTGTGTGCCTTAGGCACGTACTTGCTCTCTCCGTGCCTCCGTTTCCTACAGTTAAATGGGGTTGGTAATACTCTCTCTGTCTCAGCACCGAGCTGAGCTTGTTAGGAAGAACCGGGATTTAGTGAACAGGGTTCGCCTCGGGGCAAGCCTGGCTGTTCTGAGACGTGCTCTCTCGGGGGGCAGCTTCCGAGCATTCGTGGAGGACAGTGAAGATGAGGATAGTGCCGGGGAAGGTGGCTCCGGGTTGCTCCAGAAACGCACTAAAACCAAGGAGGAGAAGGTGGGTGCTGGGCCCGTGCTGGACCAAGGCTGGTGGCAGGGAGGAGGTGCTGGGCTCCAGCAGAAGCTCAGTGCCAGCCTTCCCCCAGGCCCAGGAGGATGCTGACTATATTGAATGGCTGAAGGGGCAGAGGGAGATTCAGAACCCGGAGGCCCTGAGAGAACTGGTGAGTTTCCACGCAGTCGCTGAAGGACTGCACTGCTTGTCCCGCCTTCATCCAGCCTTTTTCTAGAAAGTTACCCTGGAAGGGGTAGCTAAGAGCATATACTCTGAAAGTGGGTGTTGCCCCTCTGGGCCTCAGTTTCTGTATCTATGAAATGGGAATAAAACTCCCCCACACACCTATTTCATAAGCTGGCTGCGAAGTTTCAGTTACTTGAATCCATTTGATGCCCATGTCTGCCCTCCTTCCCTGCCTCTGAGTGTCTAACTGGATCCTGTCACCCCTTCACTCCTAGACTCACCTCAAGGAATATTGGAATAACCCAGAGCTGGACGAAGGGGAGCAGTTCCTACGGGATTATATCCTCAACAAGCGATATGAGGAAGAGGGAGATGAGGAGGAAGAGGAGGAGGAGGAAGAGGAGAAAGGGTGAGCAGCCATGTCCTTGCTAGAGGCCTAGAGCCATGCTGGCTGAAAAGCAGAGGGCACTGGTGTGCACTTTTGCACACGCATCATAGCAGATGGTCTTCGGAGGAAGAGCCATGCAGTGTGGGCTCTGGAGCCAGGTGTTCAAATCCTGACCCTGCTAGACTTCTGTGCCTTGGTTTCCCCATCTGTACAGTTAGGGAAACACATTCTTGGGTCAATTGAATGTGTTAATAGGGCTGGTTCGCAGGGGCTTGGCTGACCCCAGCCTCCCTCTGTCTTGTCCCTCAGGGTGCCAGGGGCCCAGCTCTCCATAGATGACTCCTCTGACGAGGGGGAGCTGTTTCTGAAGAAGCAGGAGGACTTCGAGCACAAGTACAATTTCCGCTTTGAGGAGCCCGACTCGGCCTTGGTGGGTAGCTAGAGCTAGGGCTTGGGAGGAGCTGGCTCTCGGGCTCAGGCCTGGAGAGCCCAGAATTCTCCCCGGCCCACAGGTCAAGACCTACCCTCGGAGCATCGCGTCCTCTGTGCGCCGCAAGGACGAGCGAAGGAAGGAGAAAAGGGAGGAGATCAGGGAGCGGAAGAGGAGGGTGAGTGTGAGGGGCGGTGGGTTCAGAGGAGCCCTTAGCCGTGGGGAGAGCCCATACCCTCCCTCTCCCTCTTGCCTGCCACCCACAGGAGAAGGCGAAAAAGCAGGAAGAACTCAAGCAGCTGAAGAACCTGAAGAGGAAGGAGATTCTGGCCAAGCTGGAGAAGCTGCGGCAGGTCACGGGCAATGAGACGGTGGGCTTTGAGGAACAGGACCTCGAGGACGACTTCGACCCCACCCGGCACGACCAGCTCATGCAGGTATGGCCCCCGGCCGGCCGTGCAGCCACACTCAGGAGCACGGCTCTGGGGTCAGTGTTTCTTGGTTGTGTGGCCTCAGAGAAGTGATTGAGCTCGCCGAGCCTTTGTCCTTGTCTGTAAAGTGGGTGTAACCATAGCATCTACCTCAGAGCTGTTGAAGGAGAGCTTGAGGTAAACATTTAGCAGGTAAGTGCTCTAGGAACAGTGGGTTGCTGTTTCTTTTAAACTCATTTATTGTGCCGTTACTGTTTACTGTTGTATTTGTGGGAACAACATCAGGCATAGAAACAGGTGATGAAGGCTAAGCGAGGAGCCGTGGGGACCACAGGAGCCTCGAGAAGCCCCTGGGCAGTGAGGGGAGGGGACTGAGGATATGTAGGTAGGCCAGGTGGAAACCAGAATGGGGCGGGGCCGGGGGTGCCATATAGTTGGAGTTTAACCTTCACTTCCTGGAAGCTTTTCGCTCCACAGAATGGGGATACTGTCTGTCTGCTGGTGTTTGTGCAAATGTGAGGTGGAGCCAGTAGTGGGGATATAATAGACACTCAGCAAAGGACACGTTTAACAATATCTGCCTTTGCCAGGCCCTGCATTGGGCACAGGTTTCAGCCCTCTTGGAGCCGGGGTCAGCCTTCTTAGAGCTGATGGAGTGGTGAGATCCAGCCTCACATTCCCTGTGTGCCAAGCCCTAGGCAGCGTAGAGGCCTGCCCCCTCAGAGCCCTCCATCTGATGGCAGGCATTTAACTGTGGTCGCACCTGTGGGGTCTGAGTGGTGATGGAGGCCTGCGGGGCAGGTGGGGTCTGGGAGTCCTCTGACCAGCTTTGTGAGGCCCACTCAGGAGCTGGGTCCTGGAGGGGGCGAGGTGCCGTGGGAGGTGCGGGGATAAAGTGTGGGAAGGGCGGGCCCTGCTGATCCTCCGGTCCCTGGCTCTGCAGAAATGCTTCGGGGACGAGTACTACGGCACAGTGGAGGAGGAGAAGCCACACTTTGAGGAGGAGGAAGGGTTCGAAGGTGAGGTCACTGGGTGGAGGTGGGGGTGCTGGGTCTAAAGCCTGAGGTCCCAATCCTGAGCCCTCTGGGCTCATCCCTGTCTGTCCGTCCTCTGGAGCCAGATCACTGGAACTGGGACACATGGACTGGGCCGGAGCAGGGTGAAGATTGGAGCCAGCAGGAGCTGCACTGCGAGGACCCGGACTTCAATGTAGGTGCCATGGGGAGGGGGGTGTGGGCTGCCTTGGAAAGTCCCAAGGGCTGCGAGGGCTGGCCTGACCTGCATGTCTTGGCAGATGGATGCTGACTACGACCCCAGCCAGCCGCAGAAGAAGCAGCGTGAGGCCCCCTTAACGGGCAAGAAGAAGCGCAAGTCACACTTTGCTGCAGCTGTGGGGCAGGAAAAACCTGTGTTCAACCCCAGTGAGGCTCCGTGGGCATTCCGGGGACGAGCAGGGGCGCGGCAGGGCCAGCACAACCACGGCAGCCTTTTCTCTACGCACACAGGGGACAAGACGTTTGAGGAGTACCTGGACGAGTACTACCGGCTGGACTACGAGGACATCATCGATGACCTGCCCTGTCGCTTCAAGTACCGCACCGTGGTGCCCTGTGACTTCGGGCTCAGCACAGAGGAGGTAGGGCCCCAGGCAGGGGCGGGACACGGAGGCACCCAGAAGGCAAGAGGGAGCATGGAGCCGGTGGTTCCTCCTGTCAGAAATGATAGGACTACCCTGGCCAGGTAGCTCAGTTGGTTAGAGCAGTGGTCGGCAGACTGCGGCTCGAGAGCCACATGCCTCAGTCAGATTGAGGACATTTTTAGCAAAGGCCAGCTTAGGGGTATCCTAATTAAATTAATAACAATGTACCTACCTATATAGTTTAAGTTTAAAAATTAGGCTCTCAAAAGAAATTTCAATCGTTGTACTGTTGATATTTGGCTCTGTTGACTAATGCGTTTGCCGACCACTGGGTTAGAGCATTGTCGTTACACCAGGGTTGCGGGTTCAACCCCTGGTCAGGGCACATACAAGAATCAACCAATGACTGCATGAATAAATGGAAGAACAAATCGATGTTTCTCTCTTTCTCTTTCTCAATTCTGTAAGTTAAAAAAAGACAGGAATACTAGGAATACTAGTGCTAATAACAGGACTGAAATTTCCTACCTCACAGGGTTCCCATGAGATGGGGAGGGGCTTCAAACAGCCCCTTATACACATTATAGTTGATCCTTAAACAACTGCTGGCCCCTCTGCAGTCAAAAATATGCATATAGCCAAAACTGGTTTGGCTCAATGGATAGAGCGTCGGCTTGGGGACTGAAAGGTCCCGGGTTTGATTCCAGTCAAGGGCATGTACCTTGATTGCGGGCATATCCCCAGTAGGGAGTGTACAAGAGGCAGCTGATCGATGACTTTCATCGATGTTTCTAACTCTCTCTCCCTTCCTCTCTGTACAAAATCAATAAAATGTATATTTTAAAAAAAATGCATATAATTTTTGACTTATATTTGTATATTACACACATATGTACTGCATTTTTTTTTTTTTATTGGTTTTTCACAGAGAGGAAGAGAAAGGGATAGTTAGAAACATCGATGAGAGAGAATCACCAATCAGCTGCCTCTTGCACACCCCCCACTAGGGATGTGCCTGCAACCAAGGTACACGCCCTTGACCGGAATTGAACCCGGGACTTTTCAGTCCCCAAGCCGACGCTCTGTCCACTGAGCCAAACCGGTCCTGGCATATGTACTGTACTCTTACAATAAAGTAAACTGGGGGGAAAATGGAAAAAAAAAAATTGACAAAAAAACCTGCATATAAATGGACCCATCCAGTTCAAACCCGTGTTGTTCAGGGTCAGCTGTACCTTTAATTCTGTTACTATTATATGTACAGCTGGATGACCCTTAAGACTAGATGGGCTCTGGAACCAGATGCCCTGGATTCAAATCTTGCCTTAGCCACTCATCAGCTGTGTGACCTTGGATTTGGGCTCTGTACCTCAGTTTCCCATCTATAAAACAGGCCTAATGACATGTCCCCGAAGCTGAAATGATGTGTGGCTCTTTATTTTATTTTTAATATATATATGAGTCCATGTGTGGCTCTTTAGATGGCACTTTTCCCTTAGCCATCTATAATGGCTGATGTCACCCAGCTGGAATGGCTGTGATTGAGCATGGACCTATGAATCAGGAGGACCCTGTTCAATTCCAGGTCAGGGCACAGGCCCTGGTTTTAGGCTGGATCCCCAGTAGGGGGCATGCAGGAGGCAGCCAATCAATAATTATCTCTCATCATTGATGTTTCTCTCCCCCCCTCACCCTTCCTCTCTGAATTCAATAAAAATATATATATTTAAAAAGCTGATGTTTATTGAGCTTATATCATCTGCATTTATTCAATCTTCTCAACAACCTTCTAATAGGTTTTGAGGGGATGCCTACCTCCTAAATGAGGAATCTGAAGCCTGGAGGCAGGAGCCTTGAGGTTGAGAACCTGGGCCGTATTTATAATTAGCAAATCTGGTGATTGGCATAGAGACCCCTGCCCTGAGGCTGCTGGGACCATGGTGCATGGATGAGGGCTACAGGGCCCTGGAATCTGAAATCAGCCACTTCCCTGGCTGTATGGCTTTTCAAGGAACCCCTTTCTGAATCTGTTTTCCTATCTGTTGTCCTCTGAAAAAACATGATTAGCCTCCACAGACGTCCGTTCTCTCCCACCACCATGCCATCCTCGCTGGGCGGTACTAGTATTATCCGGCTTTGACTGATGAGGTGACTGAGGCTGAGTCAGAGCCGCCCAGGGCTCACGCAGCAGGACCCCTCTCCTTCCCGTGCAGATCCTCGCTGCTGACGACAAGGAGCTGAACCGGTGGTGCTCCCTGAAGAAGACCTGCATGTATAGGTGACGGGTGGGGCTGGGCCCGGTGTTCGGGAGGAGGGGCACGCAGGCAGGCATGGACATCTCCCTGAGCACCCAGTGACAGGCGTGTCTGCTGGGCACCCAAAGGTCGGAGCAGGAGGAGCTGCAGGACAAGAAGGCATACAGCCAGAAGGCCCAGAACTCATGGAAAAAGAGGCAGATCTTCAAGTCGCTCTGCCCAGAGGAGTGAGTGTTGCTTGCCTGGGGAGGGTGGGGTGACAGGCCAGGGTTTGAGTCTCGTTCTGTCAGCCATTTGTTGCATGATTTTGGGACTGGGCCCTCTTCCTCTCTGAGACCTGGGTTCAAATCCTGACTGGGCTACAGCGATATGACTTTGGGTAAGTCATTTCCCCTCAGAACCTATTTTCTTCATTTATAAAATGGGGATAATAATGGCTCATTTCTTATTTTCTTTTTGAGGATTAAGTGAATTCATGTGAAGTGCTTAAAACATAATAAGTAGTGATAAGTTTTGGCTATTGTTATGTTATTTCTTCTATAAAGCAGGGAGCAGGGGTGACAGGAATTCCGAGTTGACTTTAAAGATGAAATGAGTTAATTTATGTGAATAGCTTAGTGTAAGCCCAGGCTCAAATACAAGAATTATCAGCAACACAGTCCAGCCTCAGGATTCAGTAGAAAAACAGTTTTGGTGTCAGACCCTGGTGTGAATTCCAGGCAGGCACCCGCATTGCTGTGTTGCCATCTATCTGAGCCTCTCCTTTCCTCATCTGTAAAACGGGGGATGTGCACTGGGAAGGGGTCCAATTGTGCTGGCCTGGGCTGAGCCCTGACTTTCTTCCCCCAGGAAAGAGATGCCCACGGAAGCCACAGGGAAGCCACAGAGGGACAAAGCCGGCCCACAGGGGCAGCTGCTGGCATCTGATGGGGTCTGCGGGAAGCGGCCCCAGCCTGAGAGCCCCCTGACACAGAAAGAGGCCCCTCCTGTGTCACCCACTGAGAAGCCACCCCTCCAGGGGCGGAGGAGGGCCAAGAGGGCTCGACTCCTGGGCCCCACAGTGACACTTGGAGGACAGGAGTTCAGCCGCCAGAGACTGCAGGCCTTCGGCCTCAATCCAAAGAGGCTGCACTTCCGCATGCTGGCCCGGAAGAGGAGGAAGCAGCAGGGGCTCAAGAGCTGCCCCTGAGCTCGATGGAGAAGGCAAGGGCCCTCAGGTTCTTCTCCCTCAATTAGGCCCCTGAATTTCCCGTCTTACACTTGTGGAAACTGAGTCTACTTAACAAGCTCCCCAGGAGACGTGGACACCTCATCTTGATGTACACCCTGGTCCCATCTCTCAAATGTTCTGGCCATAGCTGAGGTCAAGTCAGATGGCTTTATTGGCCCCCACAGCCAGTTCCCACACCCCACCAGCCCTTAGGGTAGGAGCTTTGAGGCCAGTGAGGGCACGGGCAGTCCAGTGCAAACTACAGTACTTGAGTCAGGCCCTGAGTGGGTGCCTGGGAGTCCACCTGCCACCCCTCCCTCCTTGCCTTGTGAGGAGGGCCCGAATGGCAGGAGGCAGGCCTTGGGCTCTGTCCCTGGCTTAATGGCCCAGCCTGGAGGTTTCCTGGCTGGTCTCAGCTGCGCTTCAGGGGGTGAGCAGTGGGAAGTACCATCACCACCAGAGGTCAAGCTCCCACATCCAGTGTGACATAAATAAAAAAATAAATAGTGTTTGTCCTATCTTCTCCCCCATCCCATCCCTTTATAAAAACACGAAGTCCTCAGAGCTGGGGCGCTTGGCCTTGAGGAGCCGCCCAGGGCGAGGGTGCTGCAGTGTTGGCTGGGAGCAGGGGTTGTCTAAGCTGTGGTCCTGAGCATGGCCCTCGGCCAGGGTGAACATGGGGTACCGCTGTGTGGCTGAGGAGGAGCTGAGGACCTGGTGGGAGGAGGGAGAAAGCAGCTCAGTACCAAAAGCAGTAGCCAGTTACCCCTTAGGCATTTAGTTTTCTTTTAAGGCGTGGTTATTCTAACAAGTATATTTAAAAGGTGCTTCCCGAACTCCACTCCCACCCTCCAGGCTGACCCAGGCCAGTCAATCAGCATCTCCCCAGGACAGCGAGGGCCTAGTGATGAGCTGTGCCCCAGTGCAGACAACGAAAGGCAGCCGGGATTTCACTCCGTGCCGGGAGAGGAGGGGTCCCTTTCCACGGACTGGAAGGTGGTGCCCAGAGTGGCTGCCAACCCTTGCCACATGGTAAAGCCCTGATGGGACAGTAGAGCCAAGAAAGCCCCTGACTTTTCATATTATGCCCCTTTTTGGGTCTTTTCAAAGCTGGGCTTTTGTAACGTGTGGGCAGGATGACAATCCTGACAACGGCCTAGAAGCAGCCTCTCCAGGTCTGCTGGCTCCTCTGTCCGTTCTCCCCTCCAGCCCTGACTTCCCACACCCTCCACCACTCCTCTTGCTCACCCTGGTCAGCTCTGAGCACAGTGTCTCAAACTCCTTCCTGTTGCCAGCATAGAACCCCACAGTACAGCTGGGGTCCATCTTGGAGAAAGCCATCTTGCGGGGTGAGGTGCAATGGAAGGACTGAAGCAGACAAAGAAGGGGAGCTTAGGGGGCCCCCAATTTCCTCCACATACCCCTAACCCGCCCCAGGGGATACCAGCTCACCTCCAGGGGGAAGTCAGCCTGGCTGACATCCACAGTGGGCTGGCAGTAGTGGGGGTCCAGGTAGAGCAGGGAGTCATCTGCAGGGGAGGAGGTGTGAGTGGGGGTGGGGAAGGGGAAGGTGAGGCAGGATGGCATGTGATGGAGCAGGCCTACCCTGGTAGCCGATGAAATACAGCGAGTGCCGCGGCTTGCCCCCCATAATGCCCAGGCACAGCTCTGAACGCAGGAGTTCCTACAGGGAGGAGAGTGGGCAAAGGTGAGAACGGGGCAGGTGCTGTCACACAGTCCCTCAACAGATACTTAGCAAACACCCAATGTGTGTGCTGGGCCCTGGGGAGCACTATCTATGGAACTGACATATGTTAGACAAACAAGGAACAAGAGTGAGTTGTGTGCTGGAAAGTGATTGCACTGGGAAGAGAATAAAGGAGGTAAGGGCGCCTTGAAATTACAAATAGAGGTATCAGGGAAGGCCTCATGGGAGGCGATGTTTTAGCATCTTGGGAAACAGCAAGTGCAGAGGCCCTGAAGCAGGAGACCTCTGTGGGTGCTGCAGAGTGAGCAAGGACAGTGGGAGCAGGTGAGGCGAAGGAAGGGACAGGGTCCCCTGGGCTGTGGGGAGACCTCTGGCCTTTACTCTGAGTCTTTCCAGCCTTGCTGTTCCCTTCGCCTGGAACACTCTTCTGGCTCTTTATGTGCCCTGGCAGGAGAGGGGCTTTCCCCAGTTGTGCAGCCGCCCCCATCTGCCTTTCCTCACTAGTTTTCCTTCCTTCACAGTCCGAATTGTAACTCCCAGGCTGTCTGTTAACTTGGTTCCAGATTCACTGCCTGTCATTGGAATGTTCACTGCCAAAAGGCATACATTTTTGCCTATTTACTTCTGAATCCTCAGCAGCTGGGAGAGTGCTTGGCACATAATAGGTGCCCTGTGACTATTGGGTAAACAGATAGAGAAAGCACATATACCTAACCAAACAGGAAGAACCCAGAGGGTTTCTGGGGGAGACGTGGTGAGTCTGGCGGAACCTACCTTCACGCAGGGCACATACACAGGATTGAGAGTCTCGCCACCCAGCCGCACAGGCACCAGAATGACCACAGACTTCCACTCAGCTGTGCAGTCCGGCCTAGCCACCAGGCGGGCCACATCTGCTTTGTACACTGAAAAGACAGGGCAGAAGGTCATCTTGCTAACTTCAAGCTTCAGAGCGTGACCCTCCAACTCCAGGGGTCCAATCTCATCCAAGCAACCCCTTGGGGGGGTGACACTCCCACTGTCAGTGAGAAGGAAGTATTTCCAGAACCCCAAACACTCTTAGACAATCCCAGGGGTCCCATTTTACAGAGAGCAACCAGGACCTTAAGAGTTGGATGAAGAACGAACTGCCAGGAGGAGGTGGAGCCTTCCCTGAAGCCTGGAGCCTATCCCCAGCCCCAGGCCCGCTGGTCCTTTGACTCGGTTTCTGGGTTTGCCAAGACGGAAACGGGAGCACAGAGCAGTCCTCAACCGCTGTCCCTGTGTTCCCTCCTCAAGTCTCATCTGCAGCTGTCCATTCCCCCTCCTTCCTCTGGTACCAGGAGAAGTGGATTCAACTCTTTCTGGAGACACAGCTGCTATGATCCGAATGCTTGAGTCCCCCCAAAATTTGTATGTGGAAATCCTAACCCCAAGGTGATAGCATAAGGGAGTGAGGCCTTTGAGAGGTGATTAGGTCACTGAGGCTGGACTCCTCAAGAATGGGATAAATGCTCTTATAAAAGAGATACCACCCCCCAATTTTTAAAAACTATGCATATTGACAGATGTTAACTAGATTTAGTATGGCAATCATTTCACAATGTTCTGGGTAGGACAAAAGTAGGTATACAGTAATGAGTACATGAAACAGAGTTTACTCTTATACTATTATTAATTATATTATTTTCCATACAAACAGCTGTAAACCTTTGCCCCACTCTGTATACAAATACCAAATCATGATATTATATACCTGAAACTAATATATTGTTATAGGTCAGTTATACCTGAATGGAAAAACACAACAAAAATGAGACCCCAGAGAGCTTGCTTGCCCAGTCTGACATGTGAGGACACAGCAAAGCAAGCCAGGGAAGGGGCTCCCACCAGACACCAAATCTGCCTGCATCTTGATCTTGGACTTTCTAGCCTGAGAATTATGAAAAGTAAATTCCTGTCATTTATAAGCCACCTGGTCTGTGCTATTTTTGTTATAGCAGCCTAAACAGATTAAGACAATAGCTCTCTGTGAAAATCAAACCTTGTCCCAAACCCCTACAATTTTGCATAAAAATTTAGTTTTTGTAGATTCCTTGATACCAATCCTTTTATTTTTTAATATATTTTTATTGATATCAGAGAGGAAGGGAGAGGGGGAGAGAGAAACATCAATGATGAAAGGGAATCATTGATCGGCTGCCTCATGCACTCGCCCTACTGGGGATTGAGCCCACAACCCTGACCTGTGCCCTTAACCAGAACTGGACCCGGGATCTTTCAGTCTGTAGGCTGACGCTCTATCCACTGAGCCAAACAGGCCAGGGCTCACTTAATTCTTCTAACAACACTACAAGGCAGAGAAGACCAGACTTTTGTACATGTTAGAGTTGTTCAGAGAGCAAGAGTTAACTGGATCTCAGATAAATAAGTCCTTTTGTCCTTCATTCCATCCTCGGGGAGAAGCCCTAAAGCTTGCTCTCCCGGACCTAGAGTCAGTAGAGGGACCTGAGCATCTCTCCCTGAGTTGGCCCTGAATCCTTTCCAAGGGTCCTCTGACCCAGAACTTGTTTCAGCCTCGGAGAAAGGGTCCTAAGAGGCAGCTGAAGTAGTGACTGGCTCAGGATGAGAACCCCATGACCTTGGTTAGCAACCCCTTACCCGTGCAATCCTGAGACACGTACACCACCAGGCGGGTGACCTCTGAGCAGCTCTCCACAGCTTTCCTGGGGGCCAGAAGGAAGGCTTGAGTTCCTTGGCATACCCAGTGGCTCCCATGTCCCCTGCCGTGGTCCTCACCGTGGTCCTCACCTGAGTATATGTGCCACAAGAGATGGCCCGTACCAGTCACCTGCCTTCTTGCCCCAGCTCTGTCCGAGCTCCACCAGCTGGTGCAGGCCAAAGGGGGCCTGGGGGTTGTCGGCGAACCAGGACACAATCTGCCGATGCCGGCGTTCCTGCTCCAGCTCAGGGGCGCCCTGGGCCCAGCGTGGGGGCTTCCAGTGGGCAAGCCCATGGTGCCGGTTGGGAGAGGCCAACCCTGAGGGCTCAGGGGGGCTCAGGCCTGCACCCTCTGTCCATGTCCAGTCTGGTGGGATGGGAGTCAATAGTCAACCAATGCCAGTGTGTGTGTGGGGGTTACAGTTCCCATTTACTCATGCTTCACACCCAGTTCTACCGTTCCTGAGACCCACCTTTAGCAATCCTCACATTCCTGAAACACACACAACTCTAACTCCCCCGGCAAAAGCTTACTTTATACTGGCAAAACTTTCTTTCTACGTAATTCTTTTTTTAAAATTTAATATATTTTATTGTTTTTTTACAGATAGGAAGAGAGAGGGATAGAGAGTTAGAAACATCGATGAGAGAGAATCATTGGTCAGCTGCCTCTTGCACACCCCCTACTGGGGATGTGCCTGCAACCAAGGTACATGCCTTTGACCGGAATCGAACCTGGGACCTTTCAGTTGGTAGGCCGACGCTCTATCCATTGAGCCAAACCAGTTTCGGCTTTTCTACATAATTCTCACTTGACTAAGCTTTATTTACAAACAGTTCTAACACTGATGACTTATGTGGTTGGCTCATACTCCCGGTGTGCCCTCCCCATTGCGCCTCTCACCTCTGGGCAGGAAATGCAGCAGCAGGCCCTGCGCCAGCATCATCTGCCCACTTCGCAGCATGCAACCCCAGCCACAGTCCGAAGTCAGGCAGCCCCCGGCGATGGGCGGGAAGTCCCGGCGGTAGGTGAGCCACAGGCGGGACCCGAAGTCCCGTTGGAAACGCTGGATGTCGCCTGTAAGAGCAGGTGAGTCAGCGGCAACACAGACATCTCAGGGGGGCTCCCCCAGCTCCGGCCTGGGGCCACCAGCTCACCCTCGCTCTCAAAGCAGTAGCGGCGGCCACAGAGGTGGACGCTGGAGATCTTGCTGAAGCTGGTCCGGCTTTTGACTGTCCAACCTGTGGAGACGTGGAGCAGCCAGATGGAGGATTCTAACACAGTAGTTATGGCAGCAACCGCGCTCCCATCGGTGAGTTGGGGACCATCCTGCTGCCCATCGCAGGGGTGGCCCTGGGGAGCCCACCCCGTTCCCCCAGATGGAAGCGGGGCTGCACCAGTGTTGGCCATCCATTCAGGGCGAACGAAGGAAGGCAGTTCTGAGGATCGGTCCCATTTCACAGAAGGGAAAGGTGGACACAAGGAAGTAAAGCAGCTTGCTCAAGGTCACACGGGGAAGGGCAGGACTGAGAACACTTTCCCTGAAGGACCTGCCAGATCCGCCCGGGGCGGGGCAGGGCGGGGCCCACAGGTGCCACTCGGGGGAGCGAATGGTGGAAAGGTGGTCGCAGGGCAAGGTCTGGGGCCTGGACGTCCCCCTTCTGCCCCCCCCCCGCCTCCACGCTCCCAACTCGGCCACCCCCGGCCCTCGCCCCCCGCCGGGCCCGCCCTCCTCACCGTACTTGACGTTGTTCCAAGCGGTCAGGAACTTCGCCTTAAACTTGTCCACTTCGCCCGGCTCCCCCGGGGCGGCTCCGGGCGGGCCCAGCGCGGCGCCGCCGGCTCCAGAGGGCGCCAGGCCGTTGGGGTCCGGGCCTCGGGGCGCCCGCGCCCGGCGGGCCTCGGGGCGGCGCGCGTCCTCCGGGCTCCCGCGGCGGTACTGCGCGGCGGCCGGCGACACAGGGTGCATGGGCGCGGGGTCGGCCGCCCGCCGAGGGGCCGCGCCAGGGCCCCGGGTCCGGGCCGCGGCTGGGACGCGAGCGCCCGGGAGGCTCTAGTCCGCCCCCAACGCGGCGGCCAGGCCCCCGGGCCCGGAGCGGGGCGCTGTCCCCGCCGCCGCCGCCATCTTAGCGGCGCTGCCCGAGGACGAGGAGGCGGGCGTGCCCCTCCGACGCCCCGCCCCGGCCCCGCCTCCGGATCCGCCCCCAATCAGCTTCGGTCCCCTCTCGCCTCCCCGCCCCCGCCCCGCCCACCAATCAGCTCCTGTCCGGTCCCGCCGGCCCCGCCCCCGCCCCGCGCCTTATCGCAGCGCCCAGACCCGCCGAGCCTCAGGGCCCTTATCGGAGGCCCCGGAGCTTGAAGCGCTGCCCCGCCCCGCCCGCCCCGCCCGCCCCCCCGTGGCGCCGGGGACCCTCCTCCCGCCGGGGGCCCGGGCGCGGGTCTCACCCGCCGGAGTCTCCCGGGACCCGGGCGCCCCTCTGAGCCTGGGCCAGAAGTCCCTCCCCTCCCCACCTCACCCCAGCCCACCGTTCACTTCCCCCTCTGCGTGCCTCAGTTTCCCCATAAGCAAAAGCGCGCTCAAAGACACGTCACCACAAAAACGAATATTCGTGATAATTTTGCTAAGGGAAAGAAGCCAGACAAAAAAGAAGAGAATAATCTCTGGTCCCGTTTATATCAAACTCTAGAAAGTGCAACTTGCTAATGCCATTACTGGTTGCCTGGCGGGGAGAGGGAGGAATCTGTAAAGGGCGAGAGGGTACTTTTAGGGCCGGGAAGTGTTTGCCATCTGGGTTGTGGTGACGGTTTCCGGATGGGAAAACCCCTCCGCCTGTGCACTTTGCATTGGTGCGGTGTGTCGTATGCCAATCATACCTTCCTAAAGCTGTCAAAAGTTTTCACTGGGAGGAATGTCAGAAGGAGGGGCTGAGTTCATCGTGTTAAGCTCTTCATGTGGTATCGAAGGTGCAGGCAGGGCTCAGCGCAGGCCAGCCTCAGCCTGAAGGGCGAGATGTCAGTGTGAGGACCTGTGACCCTCGGAGGGGGCGGCCCGCCCAGCGGCACACCTCAGCGGACTGCTCAGTGCTCTGCGGGTTAAGAAAGTCAGGGAGGATTAGGGCGAGGGTGTGGAATGCAAAGGAGAAGACACAAAAGGAAAGTCCCGCCCCTGACTTTCCCTCTGCTCCCCCTTCAGGCACAACCTGCCTTCTTCTCAGATTCAACAGGTCCCACCCACCACAGGACCTTTGCACACGCTGTTTTCTCTCTTCCCTGAGGTATCTGCGTGAGTCCTCCTGAACCTCCTTCAGGACTTCATTCAAATGTCATCCCTGAAGGCTGACCTCCCTCAGAATTCCTCCCCATGCCCACCCCTGGGCTCCTTTCTCCCTTCCCTGCTACATTTGTTCAGCTCAGGCTGCTGTCACAAATACCACAGACTGGGTGGCCTTAAAACAGACATTTATTTCTCACAATTCTGGAAGGTAGAAGTTCAAGATCAGGGTGCCAGTAGAGCTGCGATGTTGGTGAGGCCTCTTCCTGGTTATGTCCTCACAGGGCCTCTCTTGGGAGAGAGGGTGAGACTGAGAAGGGGAATCTCTTCCTGTTTTTATAAGGGCATTATTCCCACCATGGGGACTCCACCCTCATGGCCTCACCTAACTCTAACCACCTCCAAACACTATCGCATTGGGGTTTAGGGCTTTAACATATGAATTTGGGGGCACAAACATTCACACCATAGCACTAATTTTATTTATTTATTTATTTATTTATTTATTTATTTATTTATTTATTTATTAAATGTTTATTGAGAGAGGATGTGAGAACATATTATTGATCAACTGCCCTCCCCCCCACCCCCATACCTCCCCACACTGAGGATGAGCCTGAAATCTGGGAATTGAACTGGCAACCTTTTGGTGCACAGGAAGATGCCCAACCAACTACGCCACACTTGCCAGGGCCATAGCACCGATTCTATATATAGAGGGTGGAGCAAAAGTAGGTTGGTCGGTGGACTGAAGGGTCCCGGGTTCGATTCCAGTCAGGGGCATGTACATTGGCTGCCGGCACATCCCCGATGGGGAGTGTGCAGGAGGCAGCTGGTCGATGTTTCTCTCTCATCGACGTTTCTGGCTCTCTGTCCCTCTCTCCTTCTCTCTGTAAAAAATCAATAATATATATATATTTTTAAAAAATATATATTTTATTGACTTTTTACAGAGAGGAAGGGAGAGAGATAGAGAGCTAGAAACATCGATGAAAGGGAAACATCGACCAGCTGCCTCCTGCACCACCCCCCCAACCGGGGATGTGCCTGCAACCAATGTAACATGCCCCTGACTGGAATCGAACCAGGGACCCTTCAGTCCGCAGACCGACGCTCTACCACTGAGCCAAACCGGTTTCGGCAATAAAATATATTTTTTAAAAAGTAGGTTTACAGCTGTTCAGTTCATATGGAAAAGAATACAATAATGAATACCGTAAGTAGTAATACAAGAAGAAACCGTTTCTCGTACTCACAACTGTAAACTTACTTTCCCCACCATATATATGTGTTTTGCATATATCATTTCTATGTTTATTACTTCTGTTTCCACCACAGCTTGAGGGTGGGGGTGTCTGTCCATCCTGGTCACTGCTGGGTCCTCAACACATAGCCGGTGGCCTGGCCCACAGCAGGTGCTCAACAAACCACACGGTAGGTGCCACGGAAACCTGTGAAATTGACAGAGAACTTGTTGCCTCGCAGGGGATAGATGGGTGGTGGGGGCCACAAACCCTCTTCTGTGTGATCTGGTGTCTGACCTGCACCATGGCCACAACCGTACCCCCTGGGGAAGGGGGTGTTTTACTGCAGGGCCGGGGTTCCTCGGCCTTCCCCCTCCTCCATGAGCCACAACATCAGCTCCCCACCTGGGTCTCCGTCCCCAGCCCAAGGACCAGCCTGTGTTGCCCCTGGAATGTCCTCTAGGTCCTGAATTGATCTTGTATTTCCCCACCACTGGCTTTTCCTCCCCAGCCCTTGCCCACCCCCAGCCTCCATTGCCTTTCTTACCAGGATCTGTCTTACCACCTCCTAACCTGTGTCGCAGGTGTCCTCCTGTTCCCCAAAGCAACACAACAGTCCTGGCCATCTGCAGAGATGCTGCAGCCAGCTATCTCAGACACGTGATCTCCCGTCTCTACGCTTTGATTTCCTCATCTGCCAAATGGGGTCTGAGGACAACTAGTGCCTACTTCCCAGGGTTTGTGGGGAGGAAATGAATATGCAAAAACACTTAGAACACTGCCTGGCATGCAGCCAACGCTTCATCCATTGCTATTGTATATCTATCTATCTATTGATTTCAGAGAGGAAGAGAGAGATAGAAACATCAATGATGAGAAAGAATCATTGATTGCTACCTCCTGCATGCCCCTACTGGGGATCAGCTCACAACCTGATAGACCTGACCTCCTGGTTCATAGGTCGACACTCAACCAGGAGTCACCCCAGCTGGGCTGCTCTTGTTTTCATTCTTATTCCCACCGCTGTCCTCCCAGGCCAAGCCCCCAGCACCAGTGTTCCCTGGTTCCTGGTCTCCTGACTGCCACCTCTGACCCCTCAAATCCATTCAACATCAGAAAGGACACATCTATTTATAAAATTATTGTTTTCTTTTTCAAATGATAAACTTCATTTTATTTACTTTAGGCCAGTGGGAGCTGGCCTAAGCCGTCAGTCAGACATATCCCGAGGGATTCCAGACTGTGAGAGGGTGCAGACCGGGCTAAGGGACTCCCCAAGTGCACATATTTTGTGCACCGAGCCTCTAGTTGATATATAAGGTTAGTTTTATGTGTACAACATAATTACTTGGTATTTGTATATATTGCAAAGTGACCATCACAGTAAGTCTGGTTGACATCTGTTAACAAAAAGCAAAATATTTGTCCTAAATGTAAAATTATTTTAAAATAGTGAAATCAGCCGAAACCAATTTGGCTCAGTGGATAGAGCGTCGGCCTGCAGACTGAAAGGTCCCAGGTTTGATCTGGTCAAGGGCATACACTTGGTTGAGGGCATATCCCCAGTAGAAGGTGTGCAGGAGGCAGCTGATCGATGTTTCTAACTCTTTATCCCTCTCTCTTCCTTTCTGTAAAAAATCAATAAAATATATATTTTTTAATACAGAAATTAAGAAAAGAAAAAAATATATATAAAATTATTTTATGAACAATTTTTACCACACACACACACACAAATCTAGAGCAGCTCTGTCCACTAGAAACAAAGTGTGAGATAGAATTTTCAATATTCTAGTATCTATGTTAAAAAAAAGTACACACAACCCAATTAAAAAATGGGCAGAAGATCTGAAGTCATTTCTCTAAAGAAGACAAAGAACATAGCCAATAGCTGCATGAAAAGGTGCTCACCATCCTGATCATCAGGGAAATACAAATCAAAACCACAGTGAGCTAGCAACTCACACCTGTCAGAATGGCTAGCATCAAAAAGACAAGAAGTAACAAGTGTTATCACTTAGTATAAAGCCCCGAAGTTCCATCTATGTCGTCACAAATGGCAAGACTTCCTTCTTTTCTATGGCTGGATAATATTCCATTATGTACCTTGGTCGGCAAACTGTGGCTCGAGAGCCACATGCGGCTCTTTGGCCCCTTGAATGTGGCTCTTCCACAAAATACCACGGCCTGGGCGAATCTATTTTGAAGAAGTAGTGTTAGAAGAAGTTTAAGTTTAAAAAATTTGGCTCTCAAAAGAAATTTCAATCATTGTACTGTTGATATTTGGCTCTGTTGACTAATGAGTTTGCCGATCATTGATTATGTATAATGGAATATATATATATATATATATATATATATATATATATATATATATATATATATTCCTCACCTGAGGATATTTTTTTTTATTGATTTTAGGGAGATAAAAAGGAAAGGGGGGAGAGAGAAACA